TTGGTGTAACAAGGAGGAATGCCCTTGGCAGACACTTGCGTTGCTAAAAAGGCAGCTGCATTTGCACATTTTTCCTCTCTCTTTCGGTGAGAAGAACAAGATGTTTTGACACGTACTTAAAAACCAGCATGCGATGATGTTGACGAGTATTTTGCATTTATGGCCACTGACGCGCACACAAACGCAGACTGCGGTTATGCGCCACATTATCCTCAAAGTCTCTGTTAGGTGATGTACGAGGCAAGAACATGAGGCAGACATTGACTGAGTGCTGCTGTGTATTAGATGTGATTCACACACAACGTCACTCCTCAGCCTAAAATACCACCAAGACCCCCTCTGCTTTAAATGCCATGTCTCCGTTTCACAAGGAGAAACTGAATCATGTCACATTGTATAAAAAGTTGAACCATAGTTTGTATTTGGAGTGGAGCAACTCCAGACGAAGAGGATGTCTTGGCCTTTGTTTGACACTGAGAGACCATAAAAAGACTTTGTGTATCCCCCAAGCACCAAGCGTGTCCTGGCTCTAGTCATTAGCGCGCGTCAGTGGGTTTTTGTCATTCAAGCATCTCCAAACAAACCTTTGATTATTCACTGAAAGCAAAGCAAACTTCTGTGAGAGTTACGCTTTATGTGATTAGTTACTCAAAAAGAGTCTTAATTGGTTAAAAGCTTATTCTAAAGAAGACACATCTGGTAGTATCGGACATTAAAATTAAAAAATTTAACCAATTCAACTGGAAAAAAAAACAAACCTTTAAGCTTTTAACTGCTCCACACCTGAAATTATTTGGGGGAATATTTTCATGCTTGAAGTTTTGCTTTCACACGCGTGGAAACTATTTATAACAAATGAAAATGAGCTCAAGCAAAAGTATTGATTCATTATATGTGAAAGCTGAACTGCCATAATACAGAGAGCCAGAGGAACAGACACAACAGGCACAACAGGTTTTTTACTTTGGTACAAGTAGCATCACCGCACTGCAAAAATACTCATAACACAGTATGTAAAGTAAAAGTAATCAATGCAGGAAATCTTCCTGAGTGTTATGCAATTATATTATTAGATGATTATTTCTGATGCATTGATGTGCAAGTAACATTGTACTTTTTAGTTGGTGGAGACCGAGCTTATTTGAACTATTTTACAAACCTTTGCGTTGAATCTGTAAATGCACAACAGTTACTAAGCTCATCATACTGTATGTCGATCTGTATGATAATCTTAATTTGTTAAACAATTAGTAACTATAACAATCAAATTGATGTAGTGGAGAAAGAAGTACAACAGTTCCCTCAGAACTGTAGTGAAGCGTAAACTGGAAGTACTCGTGTCAAGTACAAGTACCTCAAATTCTATCCACAGAAATAAATAAACACAGAACAAGAAATGACCCACCAATCACCCATCACCCGCCTATTGCTGCTTCTTCCAGACTAAATGTAACGCAAACCCACTTTAGACCATAACTGAGCTGACCAACATCCTGGGTCATCACAAAAAGAGGAGTCCTATAAGTGCATCAGTTCAACTACTTAAACTACTGCAAACTGGTCTGATTAGAGGAATTCAATAGTTCATTAATGAGGGGATCCAATCAGGATCAAGCCCAAATGTAATGAGAAACCTTGAAATCTGATTATATGTGAGTGGAGTAGCAGCACTTTAACTTCACTCTGGGTTTTCAGCTTATTGCTCCCCGGCTGCTCCTTGCTCACGCGTGAGAGGAAAACGGTCGAAATGGTCCCTTACATGCCAAAAAATCCACATGTGCACTCCTAAGCACTTATGTGGTCCACTTGGACATTCGTATCCATGTTCGCCGCAGCGTGTAATGTTTGTTATGCTAGTGGGAAAGAGCAGTGATGGCGCAGCCTTTGAGTGAAAGAGAGCATCTCTGACTTTCTAAGGAGCGACTTCCCGCTGCAGGCAAAACTGTGAAACACTCAGCTCCACTTATACAACTCCGCTCTCCTGACATCCCCTGCCAGCGTTCGTCTGAAACTGGCTGCAACTTCAGATTCCAGAGATGAAAACACTCCAAAGACGTTATCAAGGTCTTGACTAAAACATAGAGTAGAAACTGCTGTAATATGCGGCCCTTTCCTTAAAATGTGACATTTGGCTTTTACCACGCAACACCCTCTGCGCTGTCAGAAGTGTGCACGAGCGTGTCACTTCCAGTGCGCACACCGAGGAGAGAGACGCACTCCCCAGGTAGCTTCATATTTACAAGCAGCAGTGAAGACAGTGACCTTCAGACAGACTAGTTGAGCTGTCAGCTTGGTTTAACGCCTGTTAAAAGATGGAGGAAAGTAGACAAGGTGGTGGAAAGGGACATTTTCCAGTGAGCAAGGTGACACAAACGGAACATTTTGGAAAAGGTCACATCATTTACATCATTACCTCCTGAAGGCGTATTGAAGAAGTGTTCATCTCCCTGCACAGAATGGATGCCTCCGTTCATTCTTACATCCAAACATATCCATTCCAATAGACAAGTGTGTGTGTGTGTGTGTGTGTGTGTGGGTGTGGATGTGATTCTTGTGCGTTTGCTCTGGTATCTGACACTCTCAGACAGCCAGTAGCATGGCTCAGTGAGAGAGATGGCGTGATCACTGGACCGTAGTCTGTCTTATCCTGTCACACACATACACATACACACACACACACACACACACACACACACACAAACCGGCTCCAGACAGCCACTGGGGCCACCAAGATAATACACCTCTCCGGTGCTGGTGTTACACCAATAAATTGGAATTTTTGTATAAACTAACCAAGGGTAAAGCATAAATCGTACTTTTAAGCCTGTAAATCCCAGCAACAAAAAAAAAAAGAAAAAAGAAAAACCAACAAGGTGTCTGGAAAAGGTGATATCCTCACTGGCAAATGAACAAACAAAAAAAAACCCCAAGCAAGCAGAAAACTTCTTCCGCTGCTGTGCATCTTGCAGTTAATTTGATTGTTTGAGTTGAACTGTGCTTCGTGCACTCTCACTCTGCGTGTCTCATTAGAGAGACAAAGTGATTTGAGTGAGTTTCAGCTTTCTCTGAGCATAAACAAGATGGATGAGTGGAAAGAAGACTGAATAAGAAACTTTATTAAAAAAAGGAATCTGAAGTAAGTACAGTAGGTGGATCACTGGGTTGCAGCGTCTGTTTAAAATACCTTGAATTCAGGCAGATATGTGTTGGGTGGTTTTGAATTGTGATCAGTTTCTGTTTCTGTCTTCACCAGAAAAACAGAGTCATTGGTCATTTGTTGTTGAAATGCGGAAAACAATGTTAATCTCAAATGTTAACCTCAACAAAAATCAGATGTGTAGCACGATTCTGTTACAGCTCCACAAACTTTTTAAGAAGCAGTCTGGGGCGGATCAATCTTTTTTTTTTCTCCTTTATTTAAATCATGAACACAATCTTTCTGTAACTTCTCGTTTTAATCACCATGACCATGATTGTTCCCTCACCAAAAACCAAGATGCTCAGTCAGAATAGCGGAATATGTGAACATCTACAGTTCCTTGAAGTGATACTTTGAGTTACTTGACATGGGGTTGTGTGAGGTACTCGTACATAGTCAGCGTATTAACTGCAGTTTTCTCAGTTTGGAGAAGTAGGCAGAAGTACCAGCACAGAACCTGAGCGATGTGCCGCTGTGGATGGGGACAGTTGCAAATAGTGTTTTGCCACTTGCAAAATGTTCATTGAAAAAGTTCATTTCAGTTCAAGTGCAATATGGTAGTTCAGTGGTTGAGAAAATGTAGTTCCAGGGAAAAGGCTGTTTGACAACAAAATAAAGTGGTGAAAGTATCAAAAAAATAAAGCATATATTTCAACCAATACTGGCTTTTTTTTGGTGGCTAACACGTTTTTTGCGGCTGGCCCTGTCCACACCACGGTACACCACTCAGCTTCTGCGCCGGTTCTCCCAACTGCTTCTCGAAAGTGGCAGCGCGCCAATCCGAATCTACTGCAGGTAATCCACTGATTATAGATAAGTACTTCACACAACCCTTACAAACATCAAATAATCTCAACCATCACTTTGAGTACAGCATCTGGTGTTGCCTCTGTTTTGATGGCGTCAGCAGCTCAAGTGGCATTCAGCCTAATATGACCCACCTTCGTACCAGTGTTTGCTACTATCGTACACCTGCAGCACAGCAAAATGTGTGGCTCATATTAATGGCACTGGTACAAACGTAGTTCCTTTCCATAGATGATTGTGGCCAGAGGGTTTGAAACAATGTTCCAGGTCACAAACTTTTTTTATACTATAAGCAGAGGCAGAGTAATTTCTCACACAAGTTTGAAACTCAACTACTGCAGTACAGACCACACCACATATTTATTTGAAAGTTTAAACATTTGACTCAGTTTCTGATGTCTTTTACACTTAGAAAATAAAAGCGTCCAATTGGAAATGGAAGCATTTGTAAAAATTTTGACCGTAGTCTCTGTTAATTGACCACTTAACAGTGAATGTTTTTGGCAAGCAGGATGACACTAATTATTGGTTTATAATCATAAACCCGATAAATTACTATATTTGGCTGCTAGTGGGAAATGGAGACAAACACCTTGCTCCATGTTACTGAAGCATTCAAACCAAGTCCGTCCGAATCTAAATTCCCACCGTCCAGATTTGCAGACTACCGTCATACGTACTGTCACACGTCAAGTCTGCAAGGGTGCTTTCAGATCTTGACCCCAGTTTCAACTTTGGAAACTTAACATATAGAAAGCAAAGGAGATTTATTTACCCACTAATCTGTAAATTGTCCACAGTTTTTTTCAGTAATTTATAGCGACATACCTGCAAGGAATGAAACACCAGAGATAACTGAAATTACGGACAGCCTGAAAATGATCTTTCCTCCTCTAACTCCTCTGCTATCCTTTCACTCCCATTCTCCTTCCACCACTCTTCTCCCCCCTTCCTCTCCTTTCTCCTGTTATTTCTTTCCTTTCATTCCCCTCAGATTTCTATCCAACACCTCATTCGAGGGCCAGAGCGGCTTTATATCCAGAGACAGTCACAGCCAGAATGTCATCTCAGAGGCCCATCACTACATCTGGTCCCTCCAGCTGGACCCCCTCGGCCAGCCAACCTGGACCCGCCTGGGACGCTGGCGCAGGGGGAGAGTTCTGATGGACCAGAGGGCCTGGCCAAGCCATGCGGGTTCGGGAGGTGGAGGTGATTGGCGCCGACCCACGAGGCTGCACATGCGGGTGGTGACGCTGGTGGAGCACCCGTTTGTGTTTACCCGAGAGGTGGACGGGGACGGGCTGTGTCCCGCAGGCCAACTGTGCCTCGACCCGCTCACCAACGAATCTTCGGTTTTGGAAGGACTTTTCCAAAACCTCGCGGGACCCAACGGATCTGTTTCCACTGACCTGAAGAAGTGCTGTTATGGATACTGCATTGACCTGCTGGAGAAGCTGGGCGAGGACATGGGCTTCACTTACGACCTCTACATTGTCGGCGATGGGAAGTATGGCGGGTTTAAGAACGGTCGCTGGACGGGATTGGTGGGTGATCTGCTCAGTGGCGCTGCCCACCTGGCAGTGACTTCATTTAGCATTAATTCAGCCAGAAGCCAAGTCATTGACTTCACCTCACCCTTCTTCTCCACCAGCCTTGGAATTCTGGTCAGTGCTGCTCTTTCTCTTGCTGCCTCACTTCTTTTTCTCCTCATTATATATAGATTTTTCTTTTTTTTTTTCCTCGCTCCACCTCCTATTACTCACTTCTGCTACTCTTTGGCCCATCCTTCTCTGCTCTCTGTCATTGAACTCACCTCAACTCTTTCCGCTTGGTATGCTGGTGGTCAGTATCAATATGGTAGAGTTTTATTACTGCAAGACCTACATTATTGGAATCTAATGCAATTCCCCATATGGGCCTAGACCGGTGAGGAGCGAATAGCTTTGTGAGGTGACCCTATTACTGCAATTACTACAGCTAGTCTCACCAGTTGACAGGCATAGCGACAGTGGTAATCACTCTATCTTCTCCTCCTCTTAACACGCCACTACAGAGGGAGACGTTCTGCTTTATTTACAGTGGATGTCTCTTCCATTGTCCATAATATTTCTATTTTCTTCCCCCCATTTCACCTCAGGTATCCTCTCAATGAACAACAATGTCACACACAGCACCTTTATACCCCATCAGTTTTGCACCTGACAACAGTGCACTGTTGGATTGTGAAGATAATTTATGTCCGATGAAGACATGGCTAAGGAAATGCGTAGATTACATGTGTGATTTGATTTCATTAAACATAGTGTTTATATATAGTAAGTTGGGGGGTGGGGCTTGAAACCTTCCTCCCATATTGTCTGGTTCCCATCCCATCCTGCTCTTGTTGAGTCTCCTGTTCCTGTTTCAGTTGGTGAAAAAGGACCATGTATAATTATTTAATGGATTTATGATGAAAAAATAACCACACACTTTAACCCAACACTGTGTCATAAAAAAATAAAAAAAGATAGCACTGTTAATAGCGGACAAAAATGATTATAAACAACCTGTGAAAATTAAGAGCAGCAATAACATACAATAATGATGACGACATCTTGTCTTTAAAAATTTTAGTTATTAGTTTTTCTACCCCCCCCCCCCTCCCGCGCAGGTTCGTACTCGCGACACAGCTGCACCCATCGGGGCCTTCATGTGGCCTCTCCACTGGTCCATGTGGCTCGGCATCTTCGTCTCCCTCCATGTCACCGCCGTCTTCCTCACCCTGTACGAGTGGCACAGCCCGTTTGGTATGACGCCGCGTGGACGCAACCGAGACCGGGTGTTCTCCTTCTCCTCTGCGCTCAACGTGTGCTACGCTATTCTCTTTGGGAGGACGGTGGCCATCAAGCCGCCAAAGTGCTGGACGGGGCGCCTGCTGATGAATCTCTGGGCCATCTTCTGTCTGTTCTGTCTGTCCACCTACACAGCGAACCTGGCTGCTGTCATGGTCGGGGAGAAGACCTACGAACAGCTGTCAGGGATACATGACCCAAAGGTACCAAAGTCAGAAAGGTGCAGCACTACTAATAACTGCAATTTCTAGCTGAAGTTTAAAGTCCCTAAAAAAAAAAAGTTGATTATCCAATATCTGCCCAACAGTTTTAGTTATTTTACATCAGAGATTTCTGCACTAATTATTTCTCTGTGCTCTTCTGACTGGTTTGAAGTGGGTGGGATGCAAGTATGAAATGCACAAATCCCGATTTATCCTCATTTGAATCACAATCTGATGACAGTCGGTGGCTGGTTAGGGCACTGGGTTAAATCTGGGTCAAACACCTGATAGAGATGAAGAATTTTTGATGTCATAGAGACATACAGTTTCAGGGCATTCATTTAATCAGAATATTTATTTTATTTCTTTATTTTCTATTTTTCTTTTCTTCCGTTCAGATTAAAATGGACCAAAACATTTCCATTTAAAAAAGAAAATGTGGTTATGAAACTGACTGGGTTTAATTTGTTTGTTTCTTCATGTCTTTCTGGTACACCGTCTGTCATTGCAAACATGGCTGACTATGATAATTAACAAGCTGTTGTGGAATTTCTCTTTGAAAATGTCCTTGATGTGCACTCGATAAAAGTGCAGACCAGAAGATCAATTATCTATTCTACATTTAGAAGAGCCACTCGACGGTCCTTAGTTGGCAAATATATTCTTTAAATGAAACCACTTTTAGAAAAAAAAAGGCTATTGAGGTAAGATAATTCATTCAATCATTCTTTTTAGCCGACTCACCAACTCCTTGAATCACAAGAGTGCAGAACAAAAGAAAAGAAAAGTTCTTGTAAGAGTATTTCTTTTACATCTGGGAATTGAAAAATTCCAACCAAAAAAAAAAAAAAGAGAGAGAGAGAAACAACAAACCGAAATAGAAAATACCAATGTTAATATTAATACTTTTTGACGTCATTTTTAGAAGAAACACCTCAGTTTCTTCCTGTTTTCCTGCAGTTGCACCATCCCTCTCAGGGATTCCGCTTCGCCACAGTGAGAGAAAGCAGCGCAGAGGACTACGTCAAGAAGAGTTTCCCTGAGATGCACGAGTACATGAGAAGATACAACGTCCCGGCAACACCAGATGGAATACACAATCTCAAGTAAGGCGAGGTTATACATACAGCCCACATACAGTACAGCACGCACGCACGCACACACGCATATACACATAAATATTCAGGTGTACAGATGGTGCTCTCCAGTGAACCAGGTTATTCCCATATCTCTGTCATCTACTGTCATCATTCCTTTCAAACCTAATTCCTCTCTGGTTGCACAAATGGAAACAAAGAAACTGTATCATCTCTGAAAAAAAAAAAAAAAAAAAAGAAAAGAAATCTCTTAGTTGCATGTCCAAGGAAAGCCAGACTGTGGGGGTGAAAAAAAATTGCATCCCTGCTGCTGCTGTTCCCACTGCAAGCCTGCCTGCCCGCATTCAAGTCTCACCCTCCTCCTTACCCTGCCATTGCTGTCATCCTAAGCTGCTTCGACATTCAACTGGCATCCCCGTGGAGCCAAGCAAGAATATAGTGAGAGAAGGCAGCTGGAATGCAGGCCTAGGCTGGTTAGGACAGAATTTGAATGGATGAAACACAATTTTTTTTTTTGAGCTTGTAATATGCTGATTAGAGGGTTCAAGGAAAAATGTCATCTGTAGAAAATTACAACCAGGGGAACAAGACAGCCATACAAGCATACTCGCTGCTCAGGGTTTACCCCGCGAGGAGCCAGGCATTACTTATCAGTGACATTATCATACTGTGAGTATTATGTGAATCGTGTTATAGTTGTATCTAGTTTGAACAGCTATTAAAACTCTGTTAAACTACTTTCTTATTAAACTCTTACTTCATGATGAAGACTTTTCCCTGATCAACCTCTGAGATTCAACACTAATAGAACAGCTGTGTCTTACGTCGCCTCGTAAAATAAAGCCACATTACAGAAATGGCTTCCTGTCACCAGTGCTGTTTTCCATTTATGCCACTGGGATGCTTTTGCACGATTCAACTCCTTTTAGAGGCATTAACCGAAGAAGATGACGCAGAAGAAGCAGAAGCATCATATTGGTTAGTTAATTGGTTGATGCCAGGGTCGTGCTAAGGTCATAAAATACGCAACATCAGTTTCATACTTTGGTGGAAATACCAAGGACATAAGCTTCAAGCTAACTCAGCCTGTCATAATGAACAGCCAGCTCGTGGGTGGAAGATAGCGGAGGATTTCAAACACTGTCCTTGATAACAAACAAAAAACAGAGTAAGTCTTGAAAAAAAAAGCTTTATCACTTGTATCCCAGCAGGCTTTAGCTGCCCGTGAAGATGTTTTACAGTTGATTTGTAAAAGCCTCGTTGCTGTGTTGTCACAATATTTCACCTGTATAACAGGCTTGGAGTGAGGAAGACAAATAAAGGCAGTAATTGTAATGCCATATGATCAGAGGAAGTATTGGGAAATCCCGGACAAGGCAAAAAGGTTGAGAGAAATCTGTCTATCATTATTCATTGCTTCACTTCTTATCTTTCTGTCAAGTAGCGTTACGTGTTTATGAAGTGAAAGCATTAAAAAAAAAAAACTATAAAAACAGACAGAAGAGTGACGTGGGTACAAAAGCAGAGAAAATTAGTCTAGTCTTGGAGAAGCAGACGAGGGGGAAGATGACACTAAGTAAAGGTTCATTCCAGTTCACGTCTCGGGGGCGGGGGGGAGTTTAATTTTTCATGTGAATTTCAGAGGGTTGTCTGGAAGCTTCTGTGGTTCATTGCCAGAGAGAGCCACAAGATTTTAGTTAGTGCTACTGTCATATTTGTTACCACAATGAAACATCCGTCACCCATCAATAACATCTCAAATGATCAGATTCTCATAAAACTCAGTCATTCGGGCTAATGCTTCTGTTCCAGCATTACAGTGTGTAACTGTCTGATCATAGCAACACACACACACACACACACACACACATACAAAATACCATGTATTTGATTATGACTGACTCATTCTACAGGCTGTATTTGTTAGTTTGCAAATAGCACAACAGAAAATCCCGCCAGTTTCTGTGTCTGGAGCAACAGTTTGTTGTTATCTAGAGTTCCAGATGCAGACAGAGTGCCACCTCTTTTTGCTACATCTGCATTTGCGTTGCACTCGGAGGATTTCTTCTTGTTGTGTGTTTACAGGGCTGACCCTCAGAAACTGGACGCGTTCATCATGGACAAAGCTCTGCTGGACTACGAGGTCTCCATAGATGCAGACTGTAAAACACTAACAGTTGGAAAACCCTTCGCTATAGAAGGTAACACATGGAAGCTTCTTATGTGACGATTCATTTGCTCATAAAATTATGTTTTCCACCTTAGTGGGTTTGTTGTTGAAGCAGTAAGGTTATTGGTTGATTAAGAATCACTCAAACATGCGTTGGTTTTTTTTTTTTATTTTTTTAATTGTCACTGGATTTTAAGAGGTCTTTCTGCGTGACTGCAGACCAACTGACCATGAGCGTTTTTAGGACACTCCTGAATTTAACAATATCAGCCACTCAACGCTTGAACAGCAGCTAATCTTCTGGCTTTCAAAAGCTTTACATTCTTCACTGTCTACTGTTAATCTGTGGTCCATTTAGCAAGCCTCTTCCTCCCACTGTGAAAATGTTCCCATGGTGGTTGCTTCCATTACAGGACACCACGGTCCCACATTCCAGTGCTGTTGTTAATTACTTAATGCACCCTTAAGCCTTCAGGATATAATACAGATCAATCAGCGTGCTTCCTACCAAAACGAGCTACTTCTGTAATTGGCTATCACTGAATTTGTCACACTTTCCTGGCATGCTGAGAAATTCAGAGATATACTGACATTTTCAAGTACCTGCAAAATTGCCAACACTGCCTTCTTTCTGCTCAGCTGCTATTCTTGCGAACGGCTATAAACCAGTGAAATAATATAATGGCAGCACATGGTTTTGAAGAGACAATTATTTTCTTGTGACGGAGAAGTCAAGAGTTGGTACTGAGTGTTTTTGTTTGTGTGTGTGTGTGTGTGTCTGTGTGTTTGTTATGTGTCCACTGGCAGGCTATGGCATCGGCCTCCCTCAGAACTCTCCTCTCACCTCCAACTTCTCTGAGCTTGTTAGTCAGTACAAGTCAGACGGCTTCATGGACATGCTGCATGACAAATGGTACAAGGTTGTGCCCTGCGGGAAGCGCAGCTTCGCTGTGACTGAGGTAAAAACCACCTGCTACATACAACAGCAGCACACTATTGTTCCTGTTGATGAAGACATGCTGAGTTGTGACTTGCAGCATCTCCTCATCACAACCAGTGGATATGGTCCAAATATAAAAGCTAATAAATTACACCTCTGGTCATTTCAAATATTTCATAATTATATAGAAGTAGTCTTTTGTCTATCTGCTGTCTACTTCTATCATGGAGGATTATTTTACAAAGCCCCTCAAACAAATCCTGACCAAGGACTCTGACTCTGCTATCAGAACACTTTCCCTGCACTCCCTCCACAACCTTCATGAACAGTAATTGCTCCCCTCTAATTCAGACCCTGGCCCCTGACCCTCCAGCTGCTAACCAAGCTGTGTCGTCCCCATAACTTCAGTCCTAAGCAGTCCGGGCCCCCACGGTCCATGTTGTTGTTCTGCTGTTACAAAGCACTTAGCTCTCTTAGCAGCCTGGCCATCTCTCCTCCCAGCTGCGACTCTGGAATCCCCTAAAAGCTTCTCCCAGCTCAGTCCGGACCGCACACACCTCATTTTCCAAGCCTGAATTAAAAACCAACTCCCCTGTACACCTCCTCTGCCTCATCTTCTCCCTGTATTTGTACTATGCTCTCTCATTATTTATTTTGTCCTGCATAGTGTGTGACAGGCGATATAATAATCAGCTGGTTGTTCATAATTAAGCAGCATTCATTGGTGCGTGCCTTTGAATGACAGCATCACCAAAATACCAAACACACGAATGTAGATTAACCGTCTAATGAGGCTCGTACGAGCAGCAGAAGTGCTACACTGCAGTGGCACAGATTCAGTGTCGCTGAATGAACCATTTTCCACTGTGCAACAGCTAGACTTGTTATAGATGCTATCTACAGTTGCAGACATTTAAATTGCTCCAGGTACATTTCATTTCTCAGCATCATGCCTTCCTCCGCCTGCCTATAGTGACGGCAGAGGAAGCTGCTCACCCAGTATTCTGTTTCATCTGTGTGTCATTTAATTTTACACACAACTACAGCAGACAGTTGACTATCAGAAATCGCGGTGTGATGATCATGTGCACGCTCCATTTTCTCATGTTATGTATACTGAATGCTGTAGACTATGATACGTAAAATATGCATCACAACATATATCCACCCTAACCGATGTTTTAAACTCACTTGCAAATACAGCGTCGTCAAGTGTAACAAAAGTAGAATGTTTTGGCACGGTTACAATGTGCTGTCACAACGAACACTGGACAACATCATCGGGAAATTCACGTGATATGAGCAGCGAATGAATTACTGACAAGGCTGGCTTACTTAAGTCATGGCTCAGCATTTTTTTTTTTTAGCAATCTTTTATTCCAATGAATGAGTGCTACACCAGCAGCAGCAGCAGCAGCAGCAGCAGCAGCAGCGAACCGGGGATCCTGAAAAGATGAAAAATCTGATGGATTGGCTTCAGTGAGTCAAGCCAAACTCTCTGGCATCCCGCCAGCTCCCTGTCACCCCAAGGAAGTTGATCCCATTTGAAGTAATAAAATCAATACTAATAAATGACATATTATTCAATTAGCTAACATTAAGAGGGCCAAGCTTAACATTACCATGAATAAATTGTGACCAAAGGGATGCAGATTATGAGCGTTATGGTGCTTTATTGAAGTTGTTCGTCGACTTTTGCAGCAAATTTTTTGCAATTAATCAACGAGAGTAGTGAACCAATGACTGGGGAAAACATAACGGTGTTGTGAATTATAAGATCACTGTGATAAATGATTGTTTTATATGGTTACAACTGACAGGAAGTGCGTGTGTAGCCAAGAGCATGTGCAAAATCTATATCTGCGAGGAATGTTGGGAGAGGGTTAATACACACCAACTTGCACTGCTTTTTATTCAGTTGAGTATATCAGATTAGTGTCATGTATGTTCAGTAAGCGTGTCTTACTGTTAAAAGGATAAAACCACTGTAATTTTATTTCCCCATGTCAGTACAGTTTGAAATGTGTTCCCCTGCAGCCAGATGCCACTTACTGTCTCTACTGCCCGACTTCCCAGGAATCATCGGCTCCCACCCTCCAAAATTTCATTACAGCCGGCTCGCCAAGTCACAATACTGCAATGACGAATTTAATCCATCATGTATTCCTTTCCAACATGACTTTATAATGCAATCATCGCAGCTGCTGCTGTATCGCTCCATACTCTGCGGTAAAAAAACATCCTTATAAGAATGTGCATCTGCAGTAACAGCAACAAGTGCTCAATTAAGAAAAGTGTGATATTACATTTGGAGATGGCTGCACGTGCAGACTGCTAAAGCATTTCTGAGAGGTTTCTCCACACTGATACATCCAGGAGAGAATAAGAGCAAATTAAGATCTGAAGGGGAAAAAAAAAAAAAAAAAAAAAATCATAATCTCAGTAATAGGTGTGATATCCCAGAGCGAGACAGTCTGAGGGTTTTTCTTAGGGGCTTAAATCTCAGTGATTTAAACGAAACAATGTAAATGTCCAGGAGAAGTAACTGATACTTTATTTCACATTTCTCATTTCTCTGAAATAACCATAAATAGCTTTTACAGCTGTAGTGATGGCAGTGTTAAGTTATGGGGATAAAAAATATACCATGCATTACATTTGTCATTGCAGCGTACTGTCTATGCAAGCTGTTTTTAAATGGAATTTGGAAAACAAAAAGGGAGCCGATGACTCTCAGGAGGTCGGCGAAAACTTGCTGTAATTGAGACGGTGGGAACTTACGACTGCAGTGAATACATCAGCGGGTTCCCACCTTTCATGGGTTATAATGGCAAAATAATAAGAAAATTACACTCGTGTTATCATTAAAGTGTTGGCTGTATACACCAACAAAAACCTACGGCCACACTTCCTACTGAAAAAATCTGTTTCAATAAGATAAGGCTGCTCGTGCATGCAGTTTCCATATTGTTCTCAATTATTTACTTATTTTTATTACAGTGCATAACACAAAACGCAGTGCACACTAAAAAAAGAGGAGTCTTTGACATAGTGGATCCATTGACCTTAAACTGCTGTACTTTGTGCAAAAAGTGACATGTATATATATTGTATGACGTGGCTTGCATAAAGCAATATACACGGACCACAGGGATTTCAAGATAAAGGGTTTGATTAATAATTAAATATAAATGTTAAATTTGTAAAAGTGGAATCTTGTGTTATCTTGTTATGTGACTGTTTTATCACCATGCAGCACAACCTGAGGGACGTTTTATTGTTGTACTTCCTGGAAAGAATTTTTCAGACAACTACTCCTCCATTAGAGACAGTAGATATGAATCTTACCATCTCTCCACTTTCTTTCCCTGCCTCCCACCGCCGCTCATTAAAACTCGTGTCTCTCTCTCCAGACGCTGCAGATGGGCATAAAGCACTTCTCCGGTCTGTTTGTGATGCTGTGTGTGGGCGTGGCCTTATCTCTACTGACCACCATAGCGGAACACATTGTGTACAAGCTGGTGATCCCGAGGGTCAAGGAGCCACGCTTCAAATACTGGCTGCACACGAGCCAGGTGTGAACACACACACACACACACAAACACACACACAAACAAACACTTTCAAAACAAGTTGGAACACAGCTACACAAAATAAACATAGACAATTTCAAAGTACACAAGGATAGCATCAATATGTATGGTCCATATGCATTTAGACAGTGACACAGTTTTGATTACTGCTCTCTTTCACTTTCCTGTCTCTCTCTCTCTCACACATACACACACACACACACTTTAGCATTGCCAGTAACCACCAGAATAATCACAGAAAAACAGGCAAATCATTTCCACTACGCATTTGACAGCCAATGTGTTGCTTGTTTTCCAGAGATTACACCGGGCCCTCAACTCGGTCTTCACCGATGACAAACTACCAACTGTTACCAAGCCAGAGAAGAGGTACTGTCCCTGTCACTGAAGGCTGGTCTCAGTTCAGTTTCAGCTCAATCCAATGAATCCAGTAGACAAGTACTGCAATACACTGACGCTAAATGTAATGTTTTTTTCATGAATTTGATTTAAAAGGTCCCATATTTTACACTTTTCTGGTGTTTTAGTTGAAGTTATGAAGATATCTTTGTGGTTTTAAGTATCAAAAACCATCTCAGAGGAGATAGTTGTGGTTTTACATCTAATCTCTCACGTCTCTCTCTGGAGCTCTAACAAGAACAGGGTGTTTTGTGTGTGTTGTTGTGACTGTTTTCTGAGTGACGCACAGCCAGGCCAACCACAGGTAACAGATCGTAGTGTACTATTGTAGCTTGGTAAAAAACTCGTCAGTAAATGCAGTTGGCAATGACTTAAAATGCTCTGGTGATTCAGAAAAAATAAATTTTAGCCACTGGTCTTTAATATCCTTGGCAAAGCTGTGCAATGAGATAATGGCTTCCTGACATCCAACGATTCAATGTTTCCCTGACATTTTTCAGTCTTGTAGCTTCTTAGCTCAGAATGAAAGCTTGGTGTTGTGTTGTTAATTAAAAAAGTTCAGACAGTGGGTCTGAGTGGGCCGGCGCTGAGGGTATGGCCGACTTCAGTGACATCACAAAATGACAGAATTGACGGCTTGTTTCAAGGCAGTTTCTGAATACTTTGACAGTATTCATGTAACACCTTGACATGCTTAATAAACAAAAAAAAAAGATATGGAAATCTCACTTTCTACAACATGGAACCTTTAAGTGATTGAACTGAATGTCATCTGAGCCCAGTTGTGTTGTAATCATTTAAGACCCATTAGTACATTTAGTTTTGACTCTTGACATGCAAAGATTTGTCAAAAATAGGACTGCCACTCATTTTAACCAAATGTTGTAGAGAAGAGATGTAACGCTGACAATAACTGCAATATTGTCAGCGTTACGACAATATTTTCATGTTTATTTTCTATCAGGGTGTATTTTACTCCTCAGAGTGGTGTCAAACCACTGCACCCTCTATTTTCCCACCACTTCAAGTCTTTAAACTCCAGTGTGTCTTCTCGTACAAAGTGCTTTACTTCATTTAGAGGCATGTCAAGGAAGCGACTGTTTAAAGCAAATGGTGATTATAGTTAGATTTGGTGGGAAAGGCTCTGCTGTTTGAGGGAGCTCTCAATGAATCCAAGCAGTAATATGGATTCTGCTGAGAGAGCTAATCCCCCCCAAAACAAAATTATTGCTCCCTGCTTAATAAGTATAAGCAGGGGCACATAAAAAAATTAAAAAAAAAACTGAGCCACTGTGATCTGCCATCCTGACTACGCAACAAGCACATTTAAATTTCCCTTGAATGCCAACAAAGCCCTTTATATGTGAGAAGTAGCTCAGACAACATCCTGGCTGCCCTCAGATAAATACTGTATGTGGCAGGATACTAACAGGATCCTCATCCAAGGGAAATATTCAACTAAATGTAACTAACCCATGAGAAGCAACAACCATGTTGCAATTTCCCCTAAATGCTACCAAGCACTTCTCGTATCGAGTTATAAGTCAATATTATTGATCACTCTCAAAAGGAAGTGCAACTAAAATGAATAACCATAAACAAGTCTGGAGTAAAGAATTATTTGAATGATCTGCTAAACTGAATGCACGAGCCAAAAGAAAACCACCAAAACAGCTTCAAACCACAAGGTGAAAATGTGCCCAAGACCGACTCAACTCATACTCTAGTATCCCAATCGTAGTCTGCAACAAATAGCAGCTACAGGAACCTCGTTTGGACAAAACCAAATGCAAATAAACACACACAGGTTGCATATGAATACACAAACAATGCAAAACAAACACACAGAGATTTAGCAGCACAACAGCAAGCAAAGCAGCCAGCAAGCACAACATCACGCTTTATCATGACGCTGAATCAGATCAGCAGTGAAGCTCAGCGGGGAAATAGCCAACAACAATACAGCCATGGTTATCTTGCTGGCACGGCCCAGGAAACAGGCTGCACGGAGCCAACACATGACATGTCACTGGCACTGAATGAAAGCGCGAGCAGCACAGCGGCAGATATTTAGCTTACCCCCCGGGTATGACGGCGGGTTGAAGTCCGGTGAAGGCCACTGGCAGAGTGGACGCGGACTGACAGCAAACAGAGGGAAAACTCGGCCTCTATCCGGTCGGTGTCGTGAACTGGATGAAGGCTGACTGACAACAGCTTGGCGGAGGAGGGTGCGAACGTTTGCTTTTTAATCCAGGTCATCCGAAATGAGAGGCACAGACGCGGACAGGTGAGGTGCGGCACCGCTAGGTGACAGGTCAGATTGTCCGCGGTGTACACCTGAAGGAATATGATTGGATGCTGCTAATCACACAGCAGCGAATGAGCCAGTCAGTGTAAAGCATACTGCAAACTTCTGGTTCCGTCAATCGGCCAACATAGGTGACTTCCTTCGACAGAAACTTTTATTTTGTAATACATTTTATACGTTTCAAAATGCCGTAAAATGTATTCGATTAAAGGAAAATGTTATGCTGAGTTATAGGGTGTCATTGCATGAGTCCATATGATGTAACCTTAATTCACACTACACATGCACAGAAGCGTTTTCAGCGAGCCACTGGCCACATTATCAGGCTGAGAATAAGTGACATCAATTAACATCCAAGTGGCAGTTAGGGGACTCGTTTTTAATCAGAAGCTAAATAGAACGGTCAGTCTGTTGGAAGTTAATTATCGGTAAGGGATATTGAGGAAATAATCTCACGCTGACGTCACAGAGTATTGTTTGGTACAGCGGGTCAGAGAGGGAGATTTAGTAGCCTAAATCATGAAAGCTTCTTTTTGGGCAGCTTCGGTGTCTCTTCAAATGTTGCATGTGTGCGCTTTGTTCAGATGAGTTGCAAAAAACCCTTCCACAGTCATTTTGACACCGCTGTACCATTGTGTTGTTTTATTCATTTTCGATTTCTGCTCATGTTGTCATTTTAACATCACTTTGGAGCTCATTCTTTGCGATCGCACAAGCATATCTTGATGTAGAGGGAAATTGACTCTCTTTTAATCCTCTAAGGAGAGATCAAAACAATCCTCAACCTATTGCTGAGCAAAAGATTTTATTACACCCTGCTGCTCTCTATTTCACATCTATCCCTACTTAGCGACGCACTCTGAGGGGACACTCAGGTGGAGCGCTCAAAGTGGGGATTAAGTACACGTAATAATTGTGGAGCTAAGGCCATGTGACGGATGCCTGTGGTAATGAGGATAGATTACCTACTCCTGCATAATTACGCTCATTCAATCAAGCTCTTCTGCATCGTGGCTGCACGTTGCCGAAGAGTCAGAACTTATTACTGTCATATTGTCCGTGTCCTGCAGAAAACCTTGCGTGTCAATTTTGCAAGCACTGTACTGAAATGGTTCCAGCTTGGGGCCAGTTACACGAAAATACATGAATAAACCCCTCTGAGTATCAATGTTGTTACTGCAGTACATTTTAAAGAAGTATTCTACTGTGTGTCCACCTCTTTTTTTTATCAGTGTAATAAAACACAGTATTATATAACAAAATGGAGCATATGAGTTAAAATTAAAGAGTTTAAAACAACTATTTAAGATGGAACCATAATATATTTCATTTCCTAACTGTGCTAACAAGGATGTAGAAAAACCCGAAGGCATGAGAGAACTGTCCGACTGAGCGAATTAGGAGCAGTGTCTGTAATAGCCTGAAACACTCTCTGATGGCCAATTAACATCCTGTGATTTAGTATCAAACGCAGTGTTAAGGTCATGTAGCTGGAGAAAAGGCCTTTCACTTCTACTAGATCAATAATATCAGTTACGAGTTGACTGCTATGCTCTTTTTAATAGAGAAATTAGATGGGGATTGGACCATTGCTTCTTCTGTTTATGCGTATTATACTACAGCTATAATAACTAAAACCTGTTACGCTGGCATTTATTGTAGTGACACATTCAAAGTCAATTTTTTTCACTGTATTACATTTAATTTCTTATGCAGTTTTGATTTTTGCTATAGTCACTTATCTTGTTTCACTTCTGTTTCATGTCCTATTTAATTTACCAGCTATTTTCAAATACTTTAAAGGTCCATATTATATAAAGAGTAATTTCCATGTCTTTTTTTTATTATAAAGCAGATCTAGGTTCTCTATTAATACTGTGAAAGTATTAAAGCACTCAGTCCACAAAGAAATACACACAGCCTGTATTCACAGAAGCTGTGCCTTAAAACAAGCCATCAGCACTTCCATAACTTTGTGATATCACAATTTTACAGTTACATCCCTCACCCATGCCTCATGCCATTTTGGTACTTGAAGCCACAAATATATCTTCTTAAGGATCAACACTTCAAATAAAACACCAGAAAAGCATAAGATATGGGACCTTTAACTCTGGTCTCTGTTTTGTTTTTATTGCAAACTCTGCTACCTCCATGTAGTTTAGGACACAATTTGCATTTTGCTTTTCTATTCCTCACCTCTGGAGCAACCACAGCAGCTCTACAGAGTCCAAATGGCTGGGCAGAGACTGCGCTTCCCTGTCTCAGTCCTGATGAGTGATTCTTTTGTCGTGCACTTCAATTTCAAATAAGTGTAATCACAACAGATGAGAGTTACTGTGTGTAACAGTCAAACACAAGAAGACCAAATTTGACAGTAATGTTTTCCCCCTCCACAGTGTGATCAAGAGGTCATTCAAAGCTGTACAGAACCGCAGCCTGGAGCTGGTAGGGATTCAGTATCCTGCTCAAGGACACTTCAGCTGGGTTCATATCTGTGTGCTGCACCTGCGTCCTGCTTGTTGAAGGACAGCCCCCCCCCCTATTCACAATGCTACAAGCTGTGCTTATATTTCTTGTTGTCACTGGTAGTGGCAACATCTGTGCTGACATATGTGTTAGGAAATAGTGTGTCTGTGGTGAAATATTGTAGCATAGAGATCTGCAGCAGGTAAATGTGAATCAACACTGAGCTGTCCTCTTTTCATAAGCTGCGGTGGTTGGCGTGTGATTTCAAAGTATCTACGATTATTGGAAGTTCCGAGTAGTTAATAACCTTGGATTCTGTATTTGGTTCATGCATCTAACAACTTTGGATCCACAGTAGGTTGCAAGGACATGCATAAAGTCACTGCATATGGAGGAAATCAATATTTATGAAAATGTAAATGAAGGATTGGGCATATCCTAATAAGAGGAATCTGGCAACCCAGCACATTGGGAGTATGAGAGACCAGATGTATGTGGAGGAATGTGAGAGCTGCAAATTGTGGAGGGATGTAGGGGGGAGTAGGGGTATCTAACCCTCAGCAGTTGTAAAAACTAAATGGATTGTCTCTCAAGGCTGACTTGCAGTCGTGTGTTTAAGCCTCTGGCCTCTTCATATACAGAATGCAAAACACTGAGCTACATTTGTTTTTGAGTGAGAAAAGAAAAGGCCCTCTGATGTTAATGAGAGGAACACAATGAGCTTAACAGCTCTCACAGTCAAAACCTTAAATGTTTCATTTCTCTTTCGGATGCACATAATCCTTCACACAAAAACTTTTGTATAGAGTGAATGACTGGAGTGACTCTTCTGAACACAGCACCATGTTATAAAACAATGAAGACATGAATAACATCCAAATATTGGGGGGGGGTTTATCTGCTAAACAAAATTGTCCGCACTGCATGGTGCACGTTTCCCTGTCTGACCTTGATATAATTATTTCTTGTGGGACACTGCACTGCGCTCATATCTACCAGGCAGAAAAGTTAGTGATTACATTTTTTCCAGTGGAATCATGTAGACATTGTCTCCATCATTTTCCCCCATTCATATCATGAAGTTGAAAAAAAGCTCTTTCATGTGGAGGCGACACCTGGACTCCTAAAGCCTGAGGAAATGAAGTTAGAGACTGGATGAAAAAGCAATAGAGTAGCAAAGCATAGGACTAGTATTATTACCAATGATAAGAATCATCTCAAAGTGCTTTCAAAATGAGTACATGAAAACCAAAAGTTCAATTCATCAATAAAACCCACAGCAGTGCATGCAAAGGATGATAAAAGCATAATAAAGCAAGTCTATAAAGGTGAGTTTTAATTTAAAAGCCTGACTTTTCCACATTCAAGCCAGCGTTTGTTTTCAAACTAATTGTTAAACCAGGGGTCTACCTGAGAGCCTCTGGCTGCTGGGATATGGCTTAGTTAGTGACAGAACATCTCTGCTACAAAGGCAGTCTTACCACTAATAAGCACTTCTTCTAAAGATGCTAAAATTGTGGGTGATTATCCTAAGATTTAAGGCTTAAGAGAACTGATAACGCTAACCACATGGCAAAATAAGCTCCCTTTCACTGCAGCCATGATGTCAGCACAGCTGCCTTCTTGTCAAAAGGTGCATATATCATTTTTTAAGATGAAATTCTTTTTATGTTCTTATATAGTCTGATGTCTCATCTTTCAGTTTAAGGTCTCTTTTGATGTCAGGAGTATCTCATTAGATTCGTCTTGTCACTTTTTTTTTATCATCAGCAGAAATACCTTTGATTCAGAGAGTTCTTAAGTTAGGCTGCAATTCAAATGTTCGGGGATCTCTCTCTCTTCTCTTCTCTTCTCTTCTCTTCTCTTCTCTTCTCTTCTCTTCTCTTCTCTTCTCTTCTCTTCTCTTCTCTGCCCCTTTAATTAAACCATGGTTATTTTTCAGCTTGCAAATCTGGTCCAATTGATATGAAAAAGTTTCTGTTTGAGAGAGCAAACCAAATTTTGTTCTTTTCCAAGTCTCCGGCAAGTCAGAGCTATCCTATAAATGACTGCAGGAACCACTAGAGTTGACAGGGAGAACAGTACGCATTATATCGTATTGGCATTTTATATACTGGGTTATGTTCTCATTCTCTGTGATAGGCAAATTTATTTTTTTTCGCTATCATGCCATTACTCAATCATTAAAATCTAATAGTAATCTGTTTGCCACTCTTGCCATTCTTATAAATATAAATTCATAAAATGCAGTTTTTATTTATTTATTTGTTTGTTTGTATGTTTCTCAGGATATAAACTATAAATCTTGCCCTCACATCACCTTTTAATCCACTAATGCACCAAAACAAGTCATAATGTTGATATTTAAGAAAGCTATGAAAAACTATTGGGTTGCTAAATGTATTAACCGGAGGATAAACATATCTTCTAAATATTCAGAATCAAAGCAAAACATTTCCATGGCTCGGTGAAGCAAGGACACTCACTGGTTATTTTGTCTAAACCTAAGATGACACCAGCCTCATGTAATAATATTGCAGCTGCCACTTTCTTTCTGCCTTCTTCCCACCATGTGCTGATGCTGTATGGGAAAAAAAAAAGGGGAGAAGCTTTGGGCAAAGGTCCAGGGTGAATTCATGTTGCATTTTTTTCATGGTCAGCGCCATCAAAGGCACTGTTATATCACCATGGAGAACCATAGCTGGCTATTTTTATTAAGTTTGTGTGGCTGTAAAACTCCAATGAAGTAGCTTTGCGATTATATTTCTCTTCCATGCTTTGGAACGCTTCCACAATACACGAAACATGCTTATGCGGGATAACTGAGATGAAGAGGAGGCAGGACAAATGCTGCAAAATGAATGCTCATTGTGGATGACTCAGCTCCTCCATCACTCCCCGGAGTAGCATGAAGAGAAAGGGTATGTTTTGATCCCAGGTGTCAGCCGATGTGTGTCTCAGCCTGGATAGAACATGACATTCGTGATGTTGTGTCAAACTGACACATTACCCCTTCAACCCACGTTACTGCTGCAAGTGCTCATTAGCTTGAAGATGAAGGTAGACCTCCAGGTTGGTGGGATCAGTTCAGGCGCTGGGGAAAATAAATTAGGCACAGATTTGATTTCTACCAGTTGACAGTTAAGTTTTTTCTTCTTCCTTTTTTGTCTTGAATGCCTATTCATTACAAAAAAAAAAAAAAAAAAAGCTAAATGAAAGTTAAATATATTTCAACAAGAAATAATTTAAGAAGGAATCTAGGCATCAGCCCATTCATTTATTGTGAATGGCTGTTGTATCTGTGGCATCACAGACAGCAGTTTCACAATGTTTACTGGATGTACCTTTTAATCGCCATGTTCTAACAAAATAGGTTGTGTGACCGTGAGGCCAGCTAGTCAGGACATGAGAAGTATGATGCAGACTTCCAACCCCAACTACCCTGCCAACTAAGAGGACACTTTACACTGTGCGCCATCCAATCTGCAAGACTAGCCACAACACAGCTTCTTTGAGAGGATTTTTTTTTGTACAAACTTTACAAAATGATCGTATACATTCCAAGTGGAGAAGAAATCATCAAAACTATTTACACTATTTTCACAAGAATGGGGGTTGGATTCTCTTTAAAACAAAAGTCCGCAGCCAGGCTAGCAGGTATGTGAAGCTGTACTTAAGCAACACTTTGAGTTAAATGCTAACGTCATCATGCTGACAATCTCACAGTTGCCGTTGTGCAATTTTGAGCATATCATCATGTTTAGTATAGCACAGCTAAGGCTGATGGTAATGTCATTAGTTTAGCAGGTATTTTGCCATAAATCCAAGTAGTGGACAATTTCAAACTGTGACTGATGATGGTGTTAAATGAAATGCTAAGGAATCACCAAAGTTATTACAATTCATCCTGAGGGGGAACGTTAATGTCTGTACAAAATTTAATGTCCAAATCCATGAAACTGTTGTGATATGTCATTTTGGAACAGACTGGTGGACCTTGCATTGCTAAATAAAAAAATATATATATAAATAGTAAACATTAATAGCAGAACAATACACCCAGGGACACACACAAAAAAGGCATTTTTCATTTAATGGGACATTTAGGGAGAAGACTTGTACTATTTCTTGGCAAGCATTCATGCTGGTTGTTGTATTCCTTCAAGAATCTCGACGTGAGCCTCTTAACAATAACGTCTGGAACTTTCCAATACAGGAGTTTAGGGACATTTTCCTCCACTTTACTTTCTTGTTCACGGTCAGGTCCTGCCTAATTACAGGACCAGACCACGGTACCATATGCACTGTATATTCACAGTGTAAGCGCAGGGTTGACATCATCTGTATGTCTCTATAACAGTCAGGGAGAGAGATTCCTCTGAGGAACTGGTCTTACATAGGATTCAGCCTGTAAAGATCCAGTCAGATGAACAACAACTCCCCCTCATTGGTATTCTTAGGGTAGAAAAACGGTTTCCTCACTCTCATGTCTCTCTGTATCTGTCTTATCTCCAGGTGCAATGAGGGAAACAACCAGTCAGCATCTTGGAATCCAGCAGAGTCCTCCCACTGCAACAGGCGTAGGGTCCTTCCACAAGACATGCAGAATGACCTGGAGCGCCCATCCTCCCAGGATCTTCCTCCTCCACCGCCCCCTTCTCCCCTGCCCCATCCCCACTCTCTTCCCCTCCTGGAGAAACACCTGCCAATAGTGACCACCTCCAATGGTCGCTCCGACCTGTTAGGGCGAGCATTGAGCCACGGACTGGGCCCAGGGCAGGGCGGCTCCCTACAGGGCCTAACACAGTCCCGGGGTTTGGGTGTGGGCGACTGCGGCCCCGGCCTTGGCGTGGGCCGGAACCCCCTGGTCCAGGAGCTGTCAGAACTGGAGGGCCAAATCCTCGTAATCAAGCAGCAGCTGCAGTCAGCCATGAGGAGGAAGAGAGAGCTAGAACAGTACCAATCAGAAAACCAGCAAGCAAACCAGACTGCACCCAGTCAGCCCTCTACTCTCCAGTCTAACCAGTTTGCTCAGTATACCCAGTCCCACCAGCAGACTAACCAACACACAAACACACTCCCAGAGTTCTGAAGCTTTTCGTCTCTGTTTTGCCCAGAGGAAAACCTGGTGAGACCCGGGAGGGACGAGTTTCCAAAACCTCCTGCAGGTTCTGGAAAAGGGTCCTCTCCTGAGTTCTGGAGCAGGAACCTTCACATTTCTGGAAGCTGAATCCTCCCTTAGGCTCAGGAGTTCCCCTAAACACCAGACTGAAACTTTCTCCACGGGTCAGATCCTGTTCTGTAACTTCAGAGGGACATTTCCTGACTTCTGGAACGTGTGATTTGATTAGACGAGAGACAATGGACAAAGGCGAACCAGGGATCCTGAACCAAATCTGTTCTCACTAGCTTGTTGCTGTCACTGAAGAGCTGTGCAGTCCCCTCCTCTTCTTAACGCCCCCCCCACACACATTTTTCTTCACCTCCTTTTCAACCTTTTTCTGATCCCTCCATTTTTTTTCCTATTATTTCCATTCCGTCTCCTCTCTACTTTTGTCCCTCTCCTCCCTTCCCCCTAAGCCTTGTCTCTTCAAGGGTACAGATTTGCTTGCCATGACGATAAGCTTGATCATAGATATGACGACTCTTTGGTATTTAAGCTTAATGGGCTAATTCACCTGAGTCTTGCGTTGAGATTCATTGAGAGTGTAAAATGACCTGAGGTTGAACCCAGCCAGTTAATTCTTTATGTCCCCGTGTCTTGCTGAAACCTTGTATCTTTGATGGGGTAAGAGGAGAAACACAACTGTGACTGGTTGATTTTGCCATTGATGCCAAATGTTTCTGGCCTTTCACAGCGCGTTCACTTGACCTATGGGGCATTTTTCTCTGGTTAGTCTTTTCAGGGTTGTTGGGGCTGTTGTTAAATAAAGATATGAAGTTATGGCAAGACACCTCTACATTCATCAAGAATGGATTCTAGGACTATACAAAATCTTATTTATGGATCACTGTATAATGTTGTCCTGCACTTCACTGATGCACTTCTAGTTTCTTAAGGAAAGCTGCACATACAAGTCATCATTTAACTTGTCAGAGTTTGAGTTACGGTCTAGAAGCTTTTTTTTTTTTTCTTTTTCATAATGGCTTCATGGTTATAAGAGGTAATAAGATAAACATTTTCTAGTCAGGGACTCAAAACAAAACCCTTTTTTTGCCCAGCCTCTTTAGATCATAGCGGTCAGTGCTCTTGTAATATTGTGACACAACAAACACAAGATTACCAGAGCAGTTTTTTTTTTTTTTTTTTGGTACAAACCCTAAAAGAGGCAAATGTATAAAAACATCAACATGAACATACTGTAGACCACTCGCTGAACTCTGACATGTTATTTAATTATGATGAAAAATTCACAACTGGACACACTGAAACAGTCCCTCTGTGATGAGACCTGTTTTCTTGCATCTTTTCTGTTTGGGTTTGGATGTGTTCTGTTATTAAAAATTACCTCTCTTCTTTGCACTCAATTTAATTACCTCTCTTCTTACGACACTTCTATTCACGATTTTCAGTGCATATTACAAAGCAGAACGGGGCATAGTTGTGTTCAGTTTTAATTATTGCATCTGCACAACCTCGAAACTGTCAGGTATGAAGTGACTCTCCTCTCTGTGTTTTCTAAAGACCTTCATGTCGTTCGTTTCCGGCAACAAAATGCATTTCCAGCCGAGTGACTCAAGTGAGGACCAGAGGCTTGATGATTTCAACAGACTATCATGCATTTTTTTTTTCCCCCAGGATTTAAGGGATTTGCCTTCACTGATAGGTAATGAGCTCTTGTAAGACAAAGATGAGTCAGTGAAACCAGAGGAACAATGGCTGACATCCAGGGCAAACCAATCACACCTTGCGTTGAAAATGTATTTGCTTGAATTTTTTTTTTTTTTTTTTGTCCAAGTTGGCCATTGAGATTCACCTGCAGTTGCTCATTTCCTCCCATCTAAAAAGATTCCATTATGGTTTAAAAAAAAAAAAAAAAAAAAAAAAAAACAGCCTGCAGCGATTCATAACCAACCCACTCAGAGCTTTGCTGCCTACCTTCAAACGATATTCGGTTGTTGCTCTATTCTTCAGTCAGTCATATTGCTAGAGGACAGCGATTTGGACGGGGAGTCGAACGCAGAACAGCCAAGGATGACATTTTATAAACACATGGCATGGTCAAATACTGCCCAAGACACACAAAGAAAGAGACAGAGAGAGAGAGAGAGAGAGAGAGAGAGAGAGAGAGACACAAAAAAAACAGCCCCTATCTATTTAGCCAGTGTGTCTGCAGGGTAAGCGCAGGCTGTCACAGCTGAAATGAATACCTGACAGAGCAAAAGAGCAAGTGCACTGGCTGAGCCGTCAGCTTTCTTTGTGTCTGTGTGTGTGTGTGTGTGTGTGTGTGTGTGTGTGTGTATGTGTATGTGTGTGTGTGTATGCCTTGCTTAGCGGTGGCATAAACATCACCAAAGTCGAAGCGGTCGTAACAGGATGAATCAACAGAAAAACTAAATAAGAGCCCCGTTTTAGCATATCTATGCTCATTCTAATCGCTCGCCCGGGTGGCTCGTGCCGGGCGGACAGGGGTGTGGTGTGAAGGAGGAGAAGGCCGCCTCACAGGATGTGACACAGAATAGTTTTTGAAAACCCGTCTAAACATAAGCTCCCGGAAACATCATGTTTTTTTTTCTCCTGACTTGTTCTCCGAGGCAACAATCAGGCTTCTCCTTTGAACTTGCTCATACAGAATTTGTTAGAAGTAAATACATTTCTAGTTTTTTTTTTGTAAAGACCCCCCCCCCCCCCCCGAACATTCTGTAATTTCAAACTCAAAATCTATTTAGTGAAACTGTTCTGCGATGATCCTCTCCAAAGATTTACTTTTAACTGCTTGAATACATATCTGAAGAACTTATACTAAGAAGGTTTTTTTTTTTTCCTTCTTCTTCCACTGAACTGAGCTTTCATAGAAGCACGTCCCCCCAGGCTGCGTGCTGCCCACTGCACCCTCTATCAAGCAAATGTTCAAAGACGGGATCTCATTACACCTCCATCCTGCAAGTATTCGCTCCATCTCCCGTTCACTTCGACTGAAGCCTGTACCAGTGACAGATTCAGCACGTGTTCCTTGTTTCGCCCCCGGCTTTGACTCTGGTGGATTCGCAGTTCAGAGTTCACCTTTTCTTCAAGTTTTGACTATGCGAATGTGCACAATACAAACACTGACGCACCGTGTGTTCCAGCAGGCTTCAAACCACAGCTTCAGTCCTAAAAGATGTTCTGAAGTTTCTGGTCACTCTGCTCAATATTTATTTATTACCCACAGGGCTGAGTGCAGGGAAATTTTATTTATTTATTTTTTTCTGAACAAAAGCCCAATGTAACCACCTACCATACCTTCAAGCTGAAGATGAGCCATGGTTGAGGTTAGGGGCCAATCACTGCCAAGAAGGAGGGATTTGTATGCAGCAGAGAAGACTGTACTGTATGTCTGACTGCAAGGCTCAAAGGCTCATGTTGGAAGTTTCTTAATATTCAAACAAACACAAGGACAGACGCATTTCCCACTTCCTCCAGCAAAGTACGGTGCAAAGACTGACTGCTTTCTGCCTCCATTTCCTCCTCTTGGTTATGTGAGTTTGAAAGTGAAACAGGAGAGGAATGAGGCTACACTTGTTTTGTATGATCCTAACATATTATTCTGCTTGTTTTTAGCCACGTTTGTTTACAATAAGAGATTAAAAAAAGTTTCCCACTTTTAATTGGAGCATTCTGACACAATGAAAAACACCAGAGAACTCATTGTTGCTACTGACTATTTAATTCGTGGACAAACCAAGAAAAAAAATATATATATATGCAGCATTTTGAATGAAATGCTTTTCTTTTGTTCCCAAAGTAAAAGACGATTATGATCACAATGATAATGAGTATAATTCAAATCATGAATATTTATAAAACATCTTGACTTCTCTCTTCATGCTGGGCGTATCTTCCAATAGGAAATGGAATCACAACATTGCATCACAATCCACTGGTGGCTCGGGGAAGGGGAAGGGTACCTCAAGGAGGAAAAGTGAAGCAGGAGTCATTAGCCTGGTTTCCATTAGAAGGGCTAGCCGGGCCTTAAGTCAGTCAGTCAGTTTCACTCCAAAGAGCATTTCTGTCTCTCTTTTTTTTTCTTTTTTCCGGCATATTTTATAAGGTCTTCTTCCATCGGGATTTCAGTTTAAATTTAATTGTAAAGCCGCACCAGTGAAATCTTCAGGTAGATCTGGCACAGGCTAGCCCCACTGGACCTCTCTGTTGAGAAATATCTATTAACATCACAGTGAATCAGGAAATTGGGGTGAAACACACTCATAGTGAGAATACATTGTGGCTGATAAGTTGGCACAGCAGGTGCCAAACCCCATTTTCTGACTCGGAGGATGTCACTGACTCTTCCTTGTCATTTCCTCCAAAGGGAAGAGGGGTCGTTCCCCAAAACACTTAAACTGATACCAAAACATATCCAGGTTTACAGCAGGCAAACAGGTCCAAATGGATCATAACTGTCATACAGATTAACAAAAATCTTTACAAAATATGACCTGACATGGTCAATTAATGTACAGAAAGAGATAATAAAAAGAAGGATTCTGTCTTTTTTTCTGTACAAATGACAAACATCACAGAACAACAACATCAATATGTTTTTTTCCATAGCAGATTTTTCAGACTGAAAGGGGAGGGGGGGGTTAGATGTGGTGATCGATGAGGCTTTTCACCTGGCAGGATGCGATGTAAGACAGAGTGAGTCAGCTGACAGGAAGTGTGCAGGTTTAACACCATCAGGATAGGCTACAGCACTCGCTCATACAAAAATGTACAAAACACCGTCCTCTAACTACAAACAGCACACCTTGGAGGAAAAAAAATGTCCCATGTTTCAAATGGTTTCAAATATCCGGAAAAACAATCTGTGCTTACGTTTGCTTCGTGATATTTTTGCAGCTGATGTGATCTGTGTGCCCCTCGGCAGGATGAATTGAGCATAGCCCAACTAGATGAGAACCATTGCAAACATGGCGTCTTTTGTCCCCCAGGTGAATGAAACAGATATATCAGGAGTGTTTTTTTTTTTTTGTTAAGCATTCGGAGCCACGTGGCATGCGTCCTCGTCATTGTGTCTGGAAGTGCTGTGGAGACGCAAACGTGACCCGGTGCTGCCCCCTTAGTCATGTGACCTCCGTCATCGATGCCGAGTGGTTCTGCAAATGGATGTGGGAGGAGGGGATGGAGAAAGAGGTGTAAGGGTTGAGACAGATGAGGAAAAACAAAAGCAAATGGAAGGAGACAGGAGAGGGAAAAGGTGTGGAGAGGAAAGGTAGAGGAAATCATTGTCAGGCAGTGTCAGGAGTGCTCGGTGTGAGGTTCTGTATGTTCGTCTGTGAGGACAGGGGCGTAGTGCAAAATGTCATGCCGGTATGTTCCTCTGAACATGTGTCATTGCTTTGTGTGAAAGAAAGAAAGAAAGAAAGAAAGAAAGAAAGACAGAAAGGAACGAAGAAAGAAAGAAAGAAAGAAAGAAAGAAAGAAAGAAAGAAAGAAAGAAAGAAAGAACACATTGTGAACCAAATATGTGAGTGATATTAAAACTCTCTCTTTAGTTAAGGAATTCTGAGCAGGACATGAAAAGGGAAATTCCAACAAATTACAGTAACATTTACTGTGTAAACCAAATTCCAGGAGACTAAATTAAAAGTATGTGGAGTGGGGATTTTTGTTTTAATCTGAAGGCCTTGAGGGAGCTCTACCAATTAATGGGGAAAGATAATGCACATCCTAGAGATTAAAGTTTTTGGGATTACTCCAGGTTAAGTGTTTTTAGCTACCTGTGCGCTGAGGGTCTCCAGAGGACTCTCTACACGGGGGAAAGTCATTAGAGGCAGACCACGGTAGTCTTCAGTCTTCTGTTTAGCTGCTGCGCTGTGGACGCCTTTGAAGTTGTTCACAACACATATACCCTGTGAAGAATGAGGACAGTTCAGCATTAATAGCAAGACAGGTTGACAATGACAGAGGTTGACGTGGAATTGAAACACCGCGACCGGTGTCATGCACCCTCCCAGGTTACATCCACATTTAGGTTTTTACAGATTAGATTTAGTGAATCCATGACAACATTTTTTCATTTAACATTAGGAAATAATAATAATTATAAGAATATCTTGTAACCTAAGTCCCCCAATTAATAGGCCAAATCATCCAAATGTTATAATAAGACTAAGAGTCTACAGCCATGCCAGCAATTTTGTGAGGATATATTTAGGAAAGTGGTGCTTTGAGTTAAATGCCAATGTTAGCATGCTAACATGCTCCCAATGACACTGCTAACATCACAATGCAATCTTAGTTTTACATATTACCATGCTTATATTTGCTATACTTAGCTGATTGGTATGTCACTTATTCTGCAGACATTTGGTCAAAAAGACTCAAACTATAGTTAAAAAAAGAATGCCAATCAAATCAAAATGTGATTTCTCAAAACTTAAATCAAACTGCCACCTAACCCCTGCGCCAATGAGATCTTAAGCTCCAATTAGAGGGAGTTAAGAGCACCCATGAATTTTCTTTGGAGAGATGCAGCCATATTTTCTGCTTCATAACTTTTGCAGTTGCTAGTGCTGTAATATAAAGTTTATATGGGTGTAAATACTCAATGAAACATTGCATGAGTCCACAAAAGTCAGTCATCATTTAATGCAGTCAGGAGATGCTCCGGGATGTTTATCTTTGTGGCATGGCACCGTGCCCAGCAGGCACTGATATCTTGTTTCTTCATTTATATGTCTGTTAAAATTCTTGTAAATTACATTTAGTCTGCTTGTAAATTCTTTTTTTTGTCCATCAGTCAAGTTCTTTTTAACATTAGAGACACAACCGACACTGCAGCATCTCTGAACTACTTCATAGACTAGTTAATCAAAGAAGGCAGCCTAGGGGGAGATCCCAACCCCCCAGGCCAACCATGCCCTCAGGCGGTGGCAAAGGAGAAAATGAAGCAGGGCGATTCACTGCTGGAGGATGCTCAAAGTTTCCCTGTTTGTGGTACTTCTTGGACGGTGCTTCTCTAGTACTATTCCCACACCGAGGAAATGAATGAATCACAGTGGCTTGGCATCACCGTTTCACAAAAACAGATAAATTCTTTACAACAATGTCTGTCACAGTGAATCTAAACTCCAAGTTGATTAGGTTGACTCATGGGCAAGTGAGAAAGTGCAGGCGTTTGTGCTCAGCTCTACACGGACACTTGATTTCCATGGTTTTAACATGACTTCTTATCTACTCTTGGAACCTTTTTTTAAGCTTGTTTCAAACACGTTTCAGTATGGCATCCGCTTTTCTTTTCGTTTTTTTTCCCTTTTTTTCACTCAATTGCATCCCCTAAGGTCATGGATGAGTGCTTTCTGTCCATTTTTGTGTCTTGTCATCCATGCTAAGAAAGTCTCAGCCAAGCTGCAATCTGTTGTCTCAGGTGAGGAAAGTGACATTTGCTTATTTCCATGAAAATACTTGAAAAAATTATATTTTGAGGCTTTCAAATACAAAAAGGTCCTGTACATATTGTCTGGCCACAGGATCCAATTTTGCACCACAATATCAGGTCCAGATCAAACTGACCACATTTATGTCATGCTTTTTGATTTTCAGACTGATTAGAAAACACCTGACCTGCATAACACGAGACAGGATTTGGACTCTTTCGGACTCAGCAAGTGTCAAGCTTGGACCTGTAGTTTGTCTTGGATCAAGCAGAAAAACCTGTCTACTATCTTAGGATTTTACCAATATCATTCTGGAGTTCTACGACCAAGTGATTAACACTGATCCCTCAGTCTGCTGCCAGAGGACAAACCTCTTGTAGGACTAACAGCAGTTGCTGTTTGATGAGCCCGTTCAGATCTCCTCTCTGTAAGCAGCGCAGGTAGCGCAGGGATTTTAAGATATATACCTGCTTTCTACTTCTCTTTGTGCCAATTAATTTCCCTCAAGATGGCAGTCCATCAAACAGCCTGAGTTCTCAGATGACAAGACCTTGATAAGCTTCTTCAGGACCATTAGGCCCACGTGTAGGGGAGAGGCAGCCCTCCTCGGTTCATGGTTTGCTGATTATAAAAAGGTGGAAATGAGCAGGTTCAAAACTGCTGAGGTGATGATTGACTTTCTTGTGTTCATCTTTCCCTGGAGATCACTGACTCAATGTATGTCAATTTTTATAGGTCAATCATTGAAAGCTTAGATCCTTCATTAAAGAGCGGGGTGCAGTGGCTCCTCCTCCTCGTGTACCAAGGACAAAGCTGCTCCATGTTGACCTCACTGATGATCACTGGCTTTTAGCTTCCTTCAACACAACTCAACAGCAAAGACAAGAGCAGGAATGACCACCATGCAAGGTAAACTAGAAGCATCGAATCACCAAAATCTACCATCATCTGAGCATCTGCTATGGAGCTACAGGAATTTGCCCTCCTAATGCTCACCCTTAGCAAACCCCACACATTATGTGAAGCCCACCTCACCATCCTGAAGAGCTGTCTGTAAATCTTACTGTTGCCACTTATTTATCGCCCTTCACTCTCTTAACATCGAACAGGGTTGAAACCAAGCATCCTGCACAACCACTATATCCGCACATACATGTAGTACCTGGATACCATGAACAGGGAGATTTTTTCAATACAAAATTATCTTCAGCATCTAGGAAATATACATTTTTTCAGAAACTATTGGATGAATCGCCATGGAATTTGGTAAAGACATTCATGGTCCCCAGATGATGAAACCTATTGACTTGGGCAATTCGTCGACTTTTCCTGCCACCGCCAGCAAGTCACACTTTTCACTTATCCAGTGAAACATCTCAGTCAATAGATTAGCACAAATTTTTGTGACATTCACTGTCCCCAGAGGATATAGTCAAATGATTTAAGTGATTCCCTTTCCTCTGTGGTCCTCTAGGGCCTGTTCATTCCTTTTTTTAAATATCAGATACAAATCTGAGTACATGGTAAAGTGTGTGATAGTGTTTATTATAATTATTATAATTTCAAACTTTTTACTCTTTGTACCAATGACTAGCTGTAGTACTTCCAGCTGCTTTAAAGGCCTGAAAACATTAAAATGACTTACTTACACTAGTTTTACCATGTAACTTGTGGGATCGCAAGTTGTAAACATCACCGCTACGATGTACATTCCCATACGACATTCACAAACTTTACTATGTTTGATGACAGCTGAAAGACAAAACCTGAAGAGCTTTCCTGTGAATACGTCACAAACCACTTTTTGTAAATCAGCCACCAGCAACTAGCACAAATACCAACCCCTGATTTCCTCTTTCCTCAGTCTTCCCTCCATGTCTCCACCCCCCTCTCCTCTCTGTCACACTCCTTCCTGCTTTGACGCTCGGGACCTATTGGCAATAACAAGCAATGAAGCCTCTGAGACTGTTAAATAAATCTTTTTTTGATTTTTTTTTTTTTTTTTTTGGGGGGGGGGGGGTCCCCCCCTTCACCTTCCTTCCTCGTCAGTGGGCTTTCCGTCTCAACCTCAAAACAACTTGAGGGGTTCAGCTGTAATCACTACCCTGCATTTAAACACTCAGCATAAAATGTGATGTTGACGAAGCCTTTTTGATTTTCAGTGGAAGTCGGGCCGTCTGATAACACATCACAGGAGGCTGATCTTGATTTTGAACTTGGACATGTGGAAAAACTAGTCCAGTCTGTACAATTTATTCATTATTATGACATTTTGTTTCAATAAGATGAATAACTACAATCCTTACTTCTGGTGTACAGAACCAGAATGGATCAGATCACTGGCTCCCTCCATCATCTCTGAATTACACACAACCACTAATTAAAACTAATGTGTCTCGCAGTCTTATTTTGGTCCTTCCGCCTCCTCCTCACCGTGCTCTAACGAAACTAGAGCGTCTGCTGATCTCAGTGGAAATCCAGGTGCCACCTCAGTATTTTTCTCTCCTTTCTTTTCTTCTCCTCTGTCCCCCAATCAGCTAGTGTGTCCTCAACTTCATCCCTCCATCCAAATTCACCTGTATCTGAACCTCCTCCGAGCCCATTATAAACTCTGTTTCACATCCAATCGCCCATCACCTCTTCATGAACTACTCCTTAAAGCGTCTTTATCAAAACAGTGTTTAGGAACTCATTATTCCTGCCTGAAATCCTGACTGTACCCTTTTAAATACACCGTATGGCCTCTCCAGTTATCATTAAAAATCTACAGACGGGTGACAGATTAAAGGAAACCCCTGAAAAATGAGTGGAGAAACAGGATGACAACACCCCCATCCGTAGGGCATGAGGGGTCACTGAGTATGAAAATGATGTGACTCATACGCTATGGCCTTCACAGTCACCAGATCTCAATCCAACTGAACACCTGTGGGAGATTTTGGACCAATGTGCGACAGCACTCTACCCACCATCATCAAAACATCAAATGAGGGAAATGAGGGAATATCTTTTGGATGAACAGAAGAGTTGCCAAGGAGCACTGGAGCTGTTCTGGCGGCATGCGGCGTTCCAACACCTTACTAAGACACTTTATGTTGTTCCTTTAATTTGTCATCCGTCTGTATATAGTAATTACAAAAAATCTGCTGTGCATAGGAACTTTAGGGCATAAATAAGCATCAAGTCTGGCTTCAAAATGGCACCAAACCCACATTACAGGCTGCAGCCTGAATTAATCATTTAATTACTAGTTTGGGTCAGTTCCAAAATGAAGCTGAATTATTATTATAATTTGAAAATAACTCATGACCGGAATCCACCTCAGAACAATCATCTTCTCTTTTCTCTCCTCTCCTTTAATCCCTTTTTCTGGACCTCCCCAAAATTTTCATTTGCCCATCGTCCTCACCAGAAACAGAGCGACAGCTGATCCCAATATAAATCCAGCCACTACATCCGAACAGTGGTTTCGGTACTCCGAGACTCGGTTGAGGCCGGTGAGGAAGGCCGAGCAGAGCGTGCCCAGACAGAGCACAGGCTTGGCCAGGCGGCTGGACTTGGTCTTGATGGTGCTGGTGATGTACATCTGTGAGGGAAGAGCGTAGGGAGATAAGATCAAACCAAAGATGTGAAAATACAAAAATATCATGTTTTGTTTTCTTTCTTTTCTGTGTCCCAAAGGATGAACAATAGCCCCTGTTCCTCTCTTTAGGTAGACAAGAACAGAGGCAAGTCTCATGCAGAGCAACTGGAGGCGTTCCCACACAAGTCAAATATTTTGCAATTTCATGACAGCACAAAGCCTCCATTGCATAGCAAAACAGTTCAGGAAAGATGTCAAAAACTTACATCATAACAGTGAAATAACTTTCCAAAACAAAGAGTTTTTTCATAGAGAATAAAAGATGAACCTAATAAGGGAATCTCTTACTGTGAGTGAAAGTTTGGAGAAGAAGAAGAATTCAGCATTTAAAATCAGTCATCCTACATAGTATATGTTCTCACTTCTTGAACTTTTACCTCCTCTCATGCCAACTGAGGAGCTGTACATATCAAGTACTCTTTTCATCCGCAATCTGTCCTTGTGTCCCTCTTGCTCATGCTAATAAAATCCGCACTTCTGCTCTCTTTCTCTTTTCTGAAGCTGAGCCCCTCCGACACGCCGACGTCAAATAGCAGCTCTTCAAATAGTTCTTCAAAAAGCCATTCTTTGTTCCTCCAGACAATTTTCTAAAACTGCCTGAGCCCCATTTGAAGTGTCATAGCAAAGGGCCTAAATACTTCAATGTGATATTTCAGTTTTTTCTTTTTCATAAATATACAAACATTTCTAAAATTCAGTTTTTACTTTGTCATTTTGTTGTATTGAATGTAGATTGATGAGGGAAATAAAGAGTTTTTATTTTATTTTATTTTATTTTAGCATAAAGCTGCAGCATAACAAAATGTGAAGAAACACCTTCTGAATGCACTGCATACTTGTGTGAAATATTCCTTGACAGAATTTCAGGAAATATTAATTCCTTCCATCAAAGAATGAAAGGTGCTACGTTGCACCTCTTTACAGCAAATAATCCTTTTTATCCAGTCTCTTTGTTAAACTGCAGATCTAGTGTATAATTTTAATCAGCCCAGGCTAAAAGGATCTATTCATCTGATTGTTTGGGCATGTTTTGTTTTTTTAAACATTCCATTATTTGTTTCCACCAAAATGTAAACTAATTACATTCAGTCCCAAATGAGTAACTCTAGTGCTACAAGTACATTTGACATTGATTTTTAATTAACTGTGTTTCGGTTGTATTGAAGAAATTCTATCTGAAAAATCTGGTGCAGAACGGCAACATTTGTTTTTGTCCATTCTCTTTTATGAGGCAGTGATTTAAGCAAACAGTAAATTTAAACAACAACAAATGCAAACACAGGGAAAGATATTTTTGGTTCAGTAAGTTCAGTAAGTAGCTACGTTACGAAGGGAAGCTGAATGGAAATTGAATAAAAATAAATAAAACACAGCAGTGGATATATCAGGAGATTATTTTTTTCAAATTGTACTGCAGCAATTCTTAAATTAAAGTTATTCACCAATCACACAAACTGAGATTTGCAGCAAAGCAGAGTGTGGACTACAAACAACATGATTTAAGTTGTATATTTTAGTTCAGCAGCTAAAAAGCTCTTAATTCTCAACAGTTTAACTGATGAGTGAATCAAGGTTATGTTTAATATCTTCGATATCTTCCCTTACACTGTTACATTAAATGATATTCTTCAAATAATACATGTGGACAGCAGCACGGAGAAAAGATCCTCACCAAGATTCCTGTGCAGCCGATATCAAACCATCACAAAGTCATGTGTTACATTGCTTTAGGGACAACATGCAGATCCTTAAATTTAAAAGAGTACTCCACCAATTCAGCATTGCATTCTTCAACACTGTTGGACTCACAGAGGACAAAAATAAGGATGTTAAAATGGATGCAGCAGAGCCAGAGATATCGTCTTTTTTCTTCCTTGTCAAAACCTGGTACCAACATTACTCACAATGCAACTTGATCATTGACATTTAGGTTTGGCTGTGTTATGCAAGTAGCAGCTAATGTAGCCCCGAGCTACTAGCCTCAAACAGAGACGAGGAGGAGGCTACAGAGGTCCGGTAAGCTCACTTCTTGCTGACTCCACAGCCCCCAGATTTTGTTTGTTGTCAAATTTATAGTCTTCACATCCAGCCAACGCTAACTCAAGTGGCAAATTTTTTTCACACAGTTTGTCAGATGTCGTGCAGCTCTCTCTGAAGCCACAAAAGGCTTCCCTAAAACTTTATTCACATATGCAGTAGTGCTCCCCAACACCTGTAAACTGACTTTGAAGTGTAAAATCAGGTGGAGTGCCTGTACTGAACATGGACGGCTGTTTACTTGCCAACCTAGATGAAATGCTGTCTCCAGAAGCAATGGCAATGTTAACTCTTGTTTTGCATCTATTTCTATCATGTACTTTCTTCTACTGAAGTTAGCATACTAACCAGCTAGCCCCAGCTCGTCTTGTCACTTTCCGATACCGAGTCACTGTAGCATCCAGTCAGCCCTGAAGAAGTAGCGCTGTTCAGAGGGTGTATTATAACTGACTAAAGCTCTTGACAAGACTGGTGAGTAAACAGCTGTTGATGCTAACATTGGCTATGTAGCAAAAAAAAAAACAAACAAAAAAAAAACATATTGAACTCCCATATAGTGCAGGTTCATTGTTCTCACCGTCAGGTAAACAGCTGAATAAACACTCAGCGAAGCGTCCTTGGATGGGAACGACCGGCGGGCGTTCTCCACCACAACAGGGTTCCCGGTGCAGATGTTGCCATTGACGATAAACTGATGATTAAAGCGACACTCTGTGCCAGTGTAGTTGGGCTTGCAGACAGACAGGAAGTAGGGCGAGAGACCTCCCGTCACCACCTGGCCCGCATTGACGAAGATGTCTGTGGCAAACAGACCGAAAGCAAACACACCTGTGGCACACAGAAAACACAGACACAGCACAGTGAGAACTTATACCATGAAACGAGTAAAGTAGAAAGAAAGAAAGAAAGAAAGAAAGACAGTAAAGACACACTGACACTGTCACAATATCAGATTTTCACTACACGATTATCGTGGCCACAAGAACTCATGATGACGATGTTATCTTGATATCTACAAAATTTGAAAAGAAATATGATGCGATCGGTCAAATTCATCTTTAACTTTATTTAATGTGTGTTTTGTCTCTTTTTTTGGCAAATGAATTAGACACAAATACGAGTGCAGGGAGGTGGAGAGAGTCTGTAACTCTGACTGTACAAAAATATACAAAAAGAACAATATCACTTGATGGATAGTGAAAAGGCAACCAGATAGACTGATAACAAAAGATCCACAAGGGCTCACATTTACCATCACCATATTACCATATGTGTATTATAAACACAATATCAACATTTCATTTTTAAAATATCACAGTTGATCTGTATCATCAATACCGGTAAATTGCAACACCCATAACTGACACATAAACACATTGAACTTAAAGGCTTAATTCACATTTCCACCTTACATTTTGATGCAATCGCCTTCTATCTGGGGTTAAATTAGCCTGTTACTATCTGGCTCCCAACGCTGGCACATAAGCTCCCAACTGTCATTAGCCTGAATCAAACCCAGGATCTAATGTTAATATTTCCTTCCCTTAAAAATTTCTTTTGAGGAAATGGGTATTATTTAAAGTCACTGCAGACATTTCTTGTATGTTCAAACAAAGGAACTGAACTTTAGATGCAAACTGTATTGATTCTGTAATCACAAATAATGTTACAGCGGCACCTGCATGTTTTCCATCACAAAATAGGTTTTTCTTGTTTGGTTTTTGTCCAATTTGCAGTATGTACGAATCTACCACTGGTAATGTTGGAATCAAATGAAGTTAATCTGGAAGGACAGAGGAGTGGACAACAGGCAGAGAAAGAAACATAAACACAGAAAAAACAGCATCTAATATGAATGATTGCACCGACACTTTGAGTGCACCAACCCTGACCAGTGTCTGCTTCTGCATTCCTTTTGCTATGAAATATGACTGTTGATTATCTGGCCTGCTTAGCCATGAAATTACTCTGCTTTGTATTCTCATCCAAAAGGGGGGTGGGGGGGGCTGCGTGGGGTGGGGGTTGGGGGGGCTGCAGAGGGCTGGGGGCGTGGGGAGCGGGAGGGTTCGGGTGCCTGTGAGGGGCACAGGGACATGATTGTGTGAAGGGCATTGAGGGAAATAGAGAAGAGGGGGAATTAGGGTGAGAGGAGAGGAGCTGGGAGGGGAGCAAGAGAGCGGGAAACGAAAAGCCTCAGTGATCCTACAAATTTGAGAGATTGTTCGGGAACAGACGGAAATATAAATCATCTGAATTGCCTAATGAATTTCTGATGAGTGTTCTATAAACTGCAGGGGTATTATTTAAAAATGAACAATACAGTTCTGATTATGCCAGAAGGCGACCTCCTTTACTGGAACATTAAAGAGTCTGTCAGTTTGCCCAGTTCTACTCAGGCTTTGTGGAAAAGTGGCTATAAAATAATTGCCCTTCAAAGAGTGTACCTGGAGGTCTGGTTAGAGCGTCAAGAAAAGAGATACAGGTGTGTGCGGTTAAAACCTGTAATTGTGCTGTAAACCAGCCTTATTATGAGAATATACATAACCTATACAGTGTATGATCCAACAAGTTTTAGGAAAATCTTTACATTCTATTTTGTTTCAGTGTTTAAACTGACAAGCCAAAACCAGCAAGTTTACCTCATTTAAGTTAAATGATATAACCAAGTGGCAACCTCTGGAGCTGTGAAAAAAAATGAAGACAACATGGAAGTGTCAAAAACTGCAGTTCTCGAAATGTCCACTTGAGCCTCGCTCCAAAAGCGACTCAATCCCCTAGACCAGTCCCCAATCCCCAATGGCCAACTTTACAGCAGAAATCAACCCATTAACAGCCTGGTACAAAAAAAGGTTTTGGTCTGTATAGCTAATTTTCCCCTTTTGTGGCAAATATACAGGGGGTGAATTTTAATATAACTCACCTGCTTGAATTTTATTAAGGTTTAAAGTTCTGCATAATTGAGGGTGTGTTGCTTTGAGTGACAGGTGGGTGAGCGTATGCTTGCCACAAACCTCTTTGCCCATTTTTGGATTAGCCAGGAGTTAGGTGGAGTGCCAAGATGGGGTTGGCAGAGCAGCTCACTCAGAGCTTCAAAACCGGCCTTCAGAAAACCTATGAGTGATGTCATGGAGGCTACATCCATCTTTATTTACAGTCTATATAACCGATGCCAATTAAGCCACATATGGCAATGTGTGAACCCAAGAGGAAAACAGAACAACTTATAAATACTCATGTGTGTGATTGATACCATAAAGTTATTTTATTCACACAAGGTGTTTGCACCTGTTACCCAACCATATACACAATATAGTAAACGTCACTAAAAGCAGCCCTAGGATCATAATGCCTAGTGAATACACATTAAGCCCCTGGTAAGCTTGATTCAAATTTATTTGATTCAATTTTTTATTCATGATTAAGAATGATCAAAGTTAAAGTTTGGGGGTTTAACAGTCAGAAACTGCAGAAAATTTGCTTCGTCAGGGCTGTGTGGTTTCATCAGGTTTGATTGAACGTAGCCTGCCATATAAGAACAAGCAAACAACTGCACAACTGTCATGACATAGCGATTCAAATGATGCTTAGTTCTTACTGCCTTTGGCAGAACATTTTGTGTTCTTGTTCTCTAAAACCAAATCTATCATCCTAAGAACCTGACTGAGAAAATAGATTTTCACACAGCAGCAGGATCTGCAGCCCATCATCGCGTCAGGATACACCACCGTCCCATTTCCCAGTGTCAATGAGCATCAGTGCCTCAGAAAAGCAGCAAATTCATCCCATTTGCTCAACAGATCAGATCCCAGATCCCATACATTCACTTTTTCTGTCTGCTCGTCAGGTGAGGTGTGTGCTACATGCATCAAATGATGTGACACAGTCAGTATGTGCTGAACCTTGTTCTCAAGTAATAGTAGTAGTAAGTAAGTAGTAAGTTGTAGTAGTAGTAGTAGTAAGTAGTCAAAGTTTTAAATATTGGACACTGGTTTACATGCATGGGTATTTGTTGGGGGTAGGTAGGCAGCAGCTGTTCTGACACAGAAAAGAATAAAAATGCAAACATGTCTGTGATGGTCTTTAAAAACCTCACACTGACCCACTTTCATCCCTGTCATCTCATCCTTCACTGGCCTGCATCCACCTGTCTCTGACACAACAGAAACACGGCTGATCCCATTGTATAGCATGTCACTCAGAGGTCACCGGAACCTTGCTCGCTTGATGACCATGTCGCTCGCACACTCTCTTCTCCTTTTTCGCATTATGCTAGAAGTGTTGAGAATGTGAACAAACTAATCTTAAACACCAAATCCTGAAGCTCTGAATCATCAGGGTTAGTGCTGGAATCGGTAGCTTTTTGCATTGGAGCTCCCCTCACAGGTGACTGACAGCACCCACATTCAACTGTCAGCTCAGCCATGATATACAGCATGCCGCTTCCTGATTAAGAGCTTACTGAAAGACTGTGAAAGTCACACAAACAATTCTGATGCTACAGATGCATAGGTTCCTGAGCTCTTAACCTACTGCTTAAAGAGCTTTCTACTAAAAGAAACAGCAGAAGATTGAACCTAAACTCAATATTATCCAAAGCTGAACTGAGAAAAGTCAAAAGCAGCACCTTGACGTGGCGGTGATGTGACCGCTGAGGTGCATACTGATGTGTATTTGAATAATGATGTGATCTCTTAGCTACAAAACAAAACAAACTACACAGTTGGTGAGTATGAGTCTTTGTACTGAGCTGAGTGAAATGATCTGAATGAGTGAAATGATCCATCAATTTACTGTGTTTTGGTCCAGTGCAGCTGCACTGAGGTGACGCACCAGGCAAACGCTGGTGAGACTTTACAGGAATGCAGAACGAGGCACTCATCGCATCGGATTGATTCACCCCTTCCTGTGAGATTGTCGTCACAATCTTCATGTATGGGACACACTAACAGGGAGGGTCATCGAGCAAAGCCTGTGGATGACGTGAGGTATGAGGAGATCAAACTCTTGCCCGTTTAGTTTCACTGTTTCTATATTCTATGAGCAGGTTTTAATACTATGTCTATGAAAGTTTACAACAAAACTCCTAAAAACTGTTGTCCCATGCAGCACTTCCAAACTTTATTCAGTCATTGTTATATTTCACTTTAAATGGCCAGTGTATCCCATGAGATTCAGACTGTAAAACTGAACATTCACAGTTTTAGAAGGGTTATTAAATTGTTTACTCCAGTTGTTTTTGGAAAGAGATAGAAATGATTTTTGTGTTTTCTCTTCTTGCCCGTTTCACAAAAATGAAAACAAAGGTCCTAATTTTGCGCCCATGTTATATGTGATAGGACACACACACATCATTACAAGTCCTCCAACCTGAACAAATTTTTTCTAACCCTCTGATACAACCTGTAGGAGCGTCTCCTCCTCCGTCGCCACGGTTACTATAATAACGGTAATGGCTTGGTTAGGTTTACGAAATGATCGTGATTTGGTTTAAAATAAGTACTTCCTCAACATTAGACGGTCTTTGTTGTCATGGTTACAATAATAACAACATGGTAAACTTTGTCAAACAGTCATGGACAATAGAACATAAACTGCTACTCTCACATGGGAATCGAACACCGCCCTCCTGTGTCATATCCCTGTGTTGTGTCGACCCATACATCCACCTCAACCTCCTCCTGACATGGACTTTGTCGCTTTTTATACTACGTCCCCGCACTTTTCCCTTTGCTACTGTCACACTTACTAACAAAAAAGCGTAACTATGGGTCATAATAACCTGCTGCACTAACGACCTACGGGGATGACAGACTCCATCTTTGATGTGTGTCTTGGGGCAGTTTATAGTATTTGACATGACAACTTTCTTACCTATGAAGCGTATGATGCGGCGTATAAGGGGGTTGAGGTAACAACAGTCTCCTGTCACAATGGTTTTCTCCTGGGCCAGGAGAGCTTCCCTCGTCGATTTCATCACGTACATGGACACCTCTCCGATGAAAATCTGCACACGAGAGAGAGACAGAAACAGGAAGAGATTCAGAAACAGCCAGAAAAAAAAAATAAAATAAAATGAAAACCCAAACAGAAAAAGCAAAAGAAACACATACAGACAACGAAGGAAAAAAAAGTCTGGCACCCCATTATAGGGCAGAGGAAACATTTTGCCCCCGTCTGGCCTGTGTACATAAACCACTGTGTCTTAATGCAGCCTTTTCTTCAGCTCCATTATAGTGTGGACATTACATCAGGTCTAATGGAAAAACTGCTGCTGGACACACAAAATGAAACTCGTTGCAAGCCGCCTTGGGTGATGCAGGCTGCCACAAAAACATGTGTGTGTTTATGACAGAGTGAGTGTGTGCATATGTGTGCACACATCTGGTTCTGGCCTTTGGTATGTGTGTGTGTGTTTGTGGTCACAAAAGAATTTGTTTTGAGCCCCAGGACAGATAACAAAACTCCTGTGTTTCCTCCATCCCTTCTGAATGTGTTTTTTTTGTTTGTTTTTGTGGTTCTCATGAATGTAATTCTACCCTATTTATTACTTTGTGGATACAAGCAGCGAGAGCAACCGATGTTGTGATGTTAGGAGACTCAAAAAAAAAATTAAGAAGCGAGGGGGACTGACAGCACTCACATAAAATGGGTATGAATGTTTAAAAGCTTTGCTCTGGATTCAGTCCTGTCTGGATTTGTCAGCATGAAGGAAGTTGAATTAATATTTTCAAACACTTTTTTTTTTTTTTCTTCCTCTGGATGATGAGTGACATAAAGCATGCAAATACTGAATCAAACTATCATCAAATGCACTATGACAGAAAATCCATCCTTTTGATGTATAATGACCCAGAAACATCTGTCTTCCAATGCAAAGGCCTTTATCTTCAGATAGACTAACTTTAAAAAGCAGGCAACTTGTAGCATGTAGTTTGTTATGGCTGAGCAGCGGTGGTGGCAAATCAAAATGCATGTCATAAAGGCCAAAAAGAAGGGCCGGTGTAAATGTAACAACACTACAGGCTGTGAATCCTGGGTTGTTTAAAGGAAAATCCATGGCCTAAATGTAAACAAAATTATTCATTAGTCTCCTTCAGGTCTCATTTGAATCACAGTCAACAAATTATTTAGGTAGATTTTTTTCTTATTGCACACATATGCAAGTCACATATGCTGTAATACATCTGAAATGTGGGTCAGTTTTGCTCAAGTTTAACTTCATCTCTGGTAAATAAACTTGAATAAACAACATCCAAAGCTGTTAGCAATCAGTTCATTTCAATCCAGCTCCTTGAAATGCTGCTAATCAGTGAGTCATTTCCTGACACTTTTTTTTTCTATGAACATTTTCAAGCATCTATAATGATCGCCTTGAGGTATTTGTCTCACTAGAGTCTGCTTCAACGGTGAAAAGGTTAGTTACCGCTGACTGATCGCCTTATTTCAACTCATGTTAACACCCACCCTCCTTATCCTACAAATGTCATGAGAAGTGACTTGAAACAAATGTACCATGCTAGAAAAGTGAGAAACAACTTGGCATTCAACTTACACAGAGATGTCCGGGCAGAAATTGAAAAGGTTAAACAACAGACACGAAAAAGAACATGCATATCTTTCACAGGGCGCCTAATTCGTAGGAGTACTTTGGACATGTAGCAAAAAGAACAGACTTATGGTTCATGTACTATCTCAATAACATTGACCTATCCACCAGTGTAACACATTTACGGGAGCTCAGGTCCGCATTACCCTTGAAAGTCCATAAAATACTTTACCTCTGACCATAACTGCCCACAGTATTTAGGAGAAGCATTCTTTATGCATTTCACCCTTTTTTTTTTTTACACTCGCACATTAAATGTGACTGTTGAACACTGTGGAGGACCATAAATGATTCATGGTGCGGTTCGTTCCATCATACTGACGGCCAAAAGTAGAGAATTTTCAATCAGAAAACAATCAAGTGCCCAGCCTGAGGCAGCAAGAAACTTGTGTTGATTCTTGTACTTTAGAAACTGTTTATATTGTTTGATGAGCTTCTCAAATTCTAATAAAAAAAATCTTTGTGGTTTGAGTTGAGTATTTATTGGGAAATATGAACTAGAAGTGTATTAACCAGCTAAAGCAGCCCTCAGAAGGACCCAAATATCCCAAATAACTCAGATCAGAACATTTCCCTTGGTAAGCAATAATTTATTTCTTTCCCTGCTCCCAATATTTCATTATTATTATCAATTAATAATTAATCCATTCACAATTGGAGCTGTTGTAATACAAATCACACCCATAGATTGTTAAGAATAACAACTGTCCACCAAAGGTTTCCCAATGGTCATTTTGTTGCTTATATTTAGGTGAACTGCTGCCACACATCTCTGTAGAAGCAGGAAATCCAAAGCTGGGCAACAGGAACCACAACTAATGATTATTTTCATTATTGATTTATCTTTCAGTGGTGGTAATAAATGCTCATCACATGTTCCCAGAGCTTGATGTGACATCTTCAAACCACTTGCTTCGTCCAAAACCCAAACATATTCAAATTATGATGAGATAAAGGAAATGCAACTTTTTTTCCTTGATTAACATCAATTAATTAATCATCAAAATTTTTTGATTAATAATTCAATAAATTAAACAGTGTTAAAGCTGCACTACTAAAATATTTTTATATAAACAATAGATGATATGAACATGTGTAATGTGAAAGATGTCCTCACACTCTGCAGGCCCCTATGAAGCATTTTAGCATCTTTCAGCTCATTGTTTTGGTTTCTCTACTGGTCGACTCTCTCTGCTTTAATCATTAAGGTCTCCAGCTGCAGGAGGCAAAGCTCTGATAGCATAAAAACAGCTAAAAGAAAAAACTTAGTGACCAGCAAGAACATGGTGGAGCAATTAGGTAATGAGACACGTACTTCCCAAAAGTGTGTGCAGAGACCAAAAACAGAGGTGTAACAGTGAATACTGGACCTACATTCATAGAATGGCCAGAAACATGACACCAAATGACGCAAATTCTGCTTTGTGTCGGCTGGATGTGTAAACTGGCTGTTTGCTAACTCATCAACTTTCTAATGGCATAATATGTAAAGTTGTTGTGTTTACAGCTCATTGTGCTGCCTCTAAGTGTGGCAAATAAAAAAACTATTAATGCTGCTTTAATTTCTTCTTAATGAGCCGATAATTTTCAGTATCGCTACCAAGACCCATAAAAAGCAGTAGAATTATCTATCAAGGAGCCAAATTGGTAAAGAAAAAAAGCATTGGAGTTGCAGATTTCCTATTTAGGCTACAATCCTGCTCAGCTTTTAAAGGAAGTTTATCTTTTCAGCAACTTTAGTCGCCAACATTAGGCAGCCAGTTGTTTCTGTTGGACACACACTTGACGGGAACAGCATCATGCTTTCATTCTCTTGGCTCTGAGGGTGAAGGATGACTGATGCCTTGTCCGTGGCTGAACAGGTTTATGGACCGACGCGTGAGTACGACCCATCTAACCTCCACAGCCTCCCAATGGTCCGGCCATGTGGAACAATCTGCATAAATTACTGCCTCCCCGCTAATTGGCCAACATCCCAGCCTTGTCGTCATTAATTCTGACTGGCCACCTCTCTGGTTTATGACGCATGCGGAGATGGAGCGATATACAGTGTCGAGCACAACCTAAGCACCTGACACAGCACTATCAAAGGGCACAATTAAAAAGTTAGGGATGGCACACAGATGGATAAAGCGACTATGAAATACAAAGGCCACATATACTGTATACCAATGACAGAGAGATATGGGAAATGACCAGCAGTGTTGAACCAAACTCTAACAGCTGACACAGCACACTCCACGGAGGAGCGTGTGATCAGGGGAAAGCAAGATAAAGGAAGAAAATATTAATCTTATCAGGATTTAATGCACTTTATGTAAAACTACACATAAAAAGTTTAACTATAAGAAACAAAAGAACGTGACTACATCGATGAAAAAGAGGAAGCAGAATGGCAGGAACAAGATTTAAACTTTAATTTGAAAAAAGCCAATATTTTCTGACAGTAAACTTGTTTTATTTACATAGTTTTGTGAATCAGGACTTACTCTTAAGATAGTTTATTAAGTTTATCTTTACTTTTGTTTTGTATTTCTCTCTTCATGTATTTTGTGGAGTAATCAGTGCAGAAGAGTCTGTCACAACCGCACACAGATGCACTCTCGCCAAATCAGCTGTAAATAATATCGCCTGTCACATTTCCCAGCCAATCAGAGCGCTCTTCCAGATTTTAAACCAATTTATTTTATTTCACTGAATGTGTGTCAGAGTGAGTGTGCGTGCGTGTGTGCGTGTACAGGTGGACCGCTGATGCATCTCCACACCAATTAGTAACGGGGAGGAAATGCGAGCAACAGGATGTGTTTTATTTGTTCAATAAAAGTGGCAATAATTCAGGTCTTACTTCTCCATAACAGGCCGGCAACAGCACTCAGTGTTTAGAGCCTGGGAGCAAAGGAACAAAATGTCCCAGATAATAAACAAGTGAAACAGGAGGCAGCAGAACAGTGATATCTCATTACAAATAAATGGGTGGCGCGTGTCCAGGAATGACACATCTTTAGCAATCACCTCCGTGATTAAGTGCCTCTTGAAATCGTAATAGAAAAGGAAGCTGTCTGTTTGGAAAGGAAGTGAAAGCTGCGATATGGAAATGGAACACATACAGTACACTGCTAAAAGCCTTCTCACAGCACTTTGCAGTCTATAAATTCTGACTAAATTTTGGATTTGCTGCAGAGCATTCAATAGAAGATGACGAGTAGCCCCCTGAAGTAAGTTTGAAACATCACCATGTCCAGATAGAGACATACATTACAGTATAAGTAACTCCACTGGTGTAGTGGTCACTGAAGATGTGAGGAAAACTATAGTGCCCTCTACTACTAAAAGTATAGAGTATAGCAACTGTGAAAATAATGGGAATACCAGTTTTCCATAAAACATAAAGACGTGTTTTTTGACTCTTTTTTTCTCGAACATTCTCAACTGTTTGTTTTAGATGAGTAAGTCAGGATCATCATCATGTAACTGTGACATGCTGATAAGTCATGAATAAATGCTGGGGGTATTGAGCGAGTTACAGAGCTCTACACACTGCAGTAAGAAAAACACGTGTGAATACAAGACACAAGCAAATGAAGAATATCTTCACCAATTCAAAGATGCATGTGCAGCACTCTGAAAACAGAAGATGGGAAAATCCATAAACACATTCACCAATTGGGCAACACGCAGAACAACTAAACCTACTGCAAACACACACACACACACACACACACACACACACATCGCACAAACACATTCAGACAACGCACACAAATACAGGCAATACAAAGGCACTGCAGCTGACAAATGAAAAATGAAATTCTGAAAAATGAGCTGACGACTTAAGCGTGAGATATTGCTGAGATATTATTGCAGACGTCTGCTAGTGTTTACACCTATAAGTATAGTGTACAGGATAGCATAGCCTATATCATTTAATAACTCAATGTGTTTCTGTATTTGCTTGTGTTTTTTACATTTGTAGAGCAACCGGTGAAGATGTTTTTTCATTTGATTATGTTTTGTCCATTTACATGTGTTTTCTTTATTTGCAGTGGGACTCAGTATATGAAAACAGATTAGTTATAAAGAACAAAAAAAAAAAACAGATTGTTGTGAAACTAAATTTCACATGCTGAATGCAACAATACACTGCATTCACACTGAGGAGAGACTGGGAAGGGGTTGCTGCTGATTGGATCGGACAGATTCAGCTGATTGGTTCTGGTTGGCTCTTTCTTCAGAAGACACAGATCACATAAAATAAGACTCTCCTTTGTGCACGGTTTCTCTCTTTGTGACTCGGTGTTGCAGCAGGTATATACGTCAGTGAAATTGATTCATGCATACAGTGCTTACTTCCCCACAGAAAGAAAAGAGGAGGCTACACTGCATACTGGTACTGTAACACTACACCACCAGCCAAATCCCCAATTCTTTATGTTTTAGTTAAAATACATAATAGACTCATGGACTCACACTCCACTCTTTGGCAACAATTAGAAGGCAACTATAGAGTCTTTCCATTTTGGTGAACTACAGTGGATCTATAGAATTCAAATGTGAATCAATGCATTATTATATTAAACAGACACATGCCAACACTCTTCAGGAGGTGTTCAGAGAATATTTGACGTGGGTTTAATAAAATAATAAATGAACTGGCACAGGGGCCCAGAGACATATGGCGCCTGGTCTGGTGTGCTCAGCTGGAGTCAAGACGCATGGAGCAAAACTGACACCTAGTGGCTCTACGATGCTCCTTCTGTATGAGGCACACAGTATGTATCCACTGGCTTGTATTCTTCTCAAACCATCACGCAGCTTTACAAATGAACAGCTTGGACAAGAAAATGATATCTAATAGAGCCTTTTCACAGTGGACATATTGACTTGTCTTTGCAGGTAACATAAGTGCAATTAATGGGGGCTGCACACTAGCTTTACTGGTGTCGAGGCCCTGCCACTGTGTGTGTGCTGTATGCTGGCTGACACTTAAATGGAACAGAGCCATTGTTAACAGTATTAATTAGACCTGTGCTTTTCCTGCTATGACAAGTCATCAATGAAAGTCATGTCATGTCTGCCATGAAAAAGCGCCAAGTTTCTCAGCATTTCCCAAATCCGTACTACACACCAATTCTATTTAGTATGTAGCTATTACATAGTAATAGTCACAGTATACTGTTTTAGCATTTAGTAACAAAAACAAAAAGAGAAAAAAAATAAGCATACCTAACTATTTTGTACTAACAGGAACTTTTTGTACTTTTTTATCTTTATTTTCTAGAAATCAAAAATCAACCATAGTAAAGCACACTGTCTGGTTTTGAGCGTTTGGTGCCTTTTCCAGGGTGAATACAACATAAACAAAACCTGCTCAGAATTAGTATGTAGTGTGGATTAGGGACGCAGCTTCTGTCAGCTGTGAAAGGACAGAGGCTCTAGCTCCATTTTCATCTACAGGAACTGAATCAAAGACAATTTGACTTTCAACTTATGTTGAAGAGTCAGCGCTGCATTTTGTGGTGCCAGACAGCAAATAACAGGTCAAAGAGACACTGTATAAAGTTCAAAATACAGAACCAAAAGTTGAGTCTGTGAAATCAGTGCCAAACGTATCAGTTAACCCATAAATGGACATGGAAACAGTCTTGAATCAGACAGTTTGTTATGACTTTTTTCTTCCATATTTTGGCAGAGAAACTGAAAAGGATAGAGGGACAACCATTATTATTATTCTACTGTTACAAAGGCAGGTCATGTTCACTCTGGTTAGGAGCATATGTTAGTTGTAAATGAAGACTGTTAGGACACTAAGTGGAGTGATGATTATTTCATAGCTACATTTTTGGTGATATTAGTTTATAAAGGAATCAAAGAGGAAGAAGAATAGTTTCCAGATGTGAAAAGCTGTAACAAATGGTTGCTGTTCCAGAGAGAAGCAGCGAGGCTGAGATGGAAAAGAGCCTGAATAAACACACGATTATTTCCATCCATACTCCAGAATGGGGCGCAACAATCCGAGGAGTCGCCGGTTTTTACACACTTGTGAAATCCACACATAATGGGTTTTACTCACTATGGCGGTGGGAGCAGCAGCCACCACGCAATACAGGATGAGGGGGGGGATGAAGCTGGACTCCTCCGTGCCAGGGTATGGCTTCATGAGCTCAGCGTCATTACAGAAGAAACCCTGCACATGAACGCTGAACAGGTCCGTGCACTCCATGTAGTAGGCCAACAACACCGTGCCGGACATGATGACGAGCTGGAAGAAAAACATGTTGGAGCGCGAGAGAGAGAGAGAGAGAGAGAGAGAGAGAGAGCGAGGAGAAAGTTGAAGAAGAGGAGAAGAGGAAGGAGGGGAAAAAAGGGAGAGTTGTTAGTTGTATATCCAGTGCACTGCAGGCTGTCTTCGCCGATTCAGTTTCAGTAGTTTTAAAAAGTCGATTTCCTTAAACGAGCTGTTTCGTGGCCGGTCTCTGAACATCACTCCGCTCCCCTATCAGCTGTGACGTGCTGTGACAGGTTTTAATACAGAACAACTGCATAAATCCTCTAAAACCACATCTCTTTTTTTCCTCCCCCCCACTCTCTCTCTCTCTCTCTCTCTCTCTCTCTCTCTCTATCATGCTAACTCTTGTCGTGTACAAGCATCCCCCACCACCACCGGCACCACCAGCAGCAGCACCACCATCACTTACCACCTCCTCTCCACCCTCAGCCCCTCATCCTTTTATCCCTCCAACATCATCCTTTGTCTCTGGCCTCCTTTCACTCTCTTTCTAGAATCAGCTGCAGGCAATTCTTCTCTCTTTTTTTTTTCTTTACTGTTTTTTTTTTTTTTATATATATGGTATCTTTAGTCACTGATAACGAAGCAACACTGGAATAGAAAATGTAAAAAATAGCAAGAGCTTTTAATGTGGTTTCTCTGAAAATCATCTGCATTTGTGCCACTCAGCCACTGATGTGCCTGTAATGCTGCCAATCTAGCCAACCTGCTGGCACTATCCTGGGGTTTTATATCAAAGAAAAGTAATGAGATGTTTTCATATTTTAATGTTTGGGAGACACTGCCAAAGAAAAGAAAAGCCCCACGACGTCACCGGGACTGGAAGACGTAGGATATCTTAGTCAGGCAAACGTGTTGCCAATTAATTTAAATATTAGTCACAATTTCCCTTTAGGAAAAGGAATAGAGAACGGAGTAATAAGAAGCTCTATTTATCCAAAAGGAATAAATAAAGTATCAGATTTTTTTAACTAGAAAAAACAGGACACAAGCAGTCATGTGTGATCGTCTTTCACCTTTGTTTGCTGAAAAACTGCAACCTGCTTAATGTTTAATATTATAATTGGTTCCTGTGATTTCTGAAACATGGTTAACCCAGCCCTGTGTAATACTTCCTTCCAACACCAGGTGTCACTACGCCACTGCAGAAGGATCAGTATATAAAGGAAAACAACACAAATCTACACATGGATGTTCATACAAGAACTGTGCTCCACAGACTGTTAAGACTGTGCATCTTTTATTAAGAAAAACTTTCTTTAATATCGACATGACTGTATTTTCTGACAAAATAAAAGATATAAACAATGTCAATTTAAACACTTTCTGCAAACTTAAAAAATATCAACAAGAAAGCACACTAAACTATGTTTGAGGGGTATCGTATAAGGTAAGATGGTTTATATAAATGTACACATTTCACTGATAATACATTAGCCACAAGATCACATACAAAAAACTGAGCGTCACGCTAGGTGGCTATCATTAATCTGAGCAAATCCCATACCCGTGGTTACGCCCACATCTCCAGTTTGCAAGTCTGACCACCAAACCAAGTTTTCAGTTTGACTAAGTGTCTAAGAAGTAAGAACAACTTCAAAGTAAAGCATTACAGCCTCATGTGTTTTCTAGTGACTAAAAATTCAGGTTTCCCATAACAGAACAGAGCTTTTGGACTGCATTTTCAATAAAATACTCTCACCTGATTTGTTGTGTGGCTTCTCAAACTCTAGATCCACAAAACCGTCACCTCTTTTCTTATCTGACTCATTCACTAAACTTCAGAAACCTCTGTTGATACTTTGTCGTATTAAGCTTCAGGGAAAAAAAAGAAGCAACATGAGAAGCTACATGCTAACATTAGCATCACATACATCACTCATGAGCGCTCTGACTACTAACTGACTAACACTTCACAAGCTACATCTCAGGCTGTTTCGGTATAGGCCTACACTGAAGGGCAGCGGTTCTCAACCTGTGGGCCGCAAACGTATTGTAGGTGGGTCAACAAATCATTTGCAAAACAGTACAATTTTAGTGAAAGAATGTAATTATAGACAAAAAAAAAATGTTTTCAAATGTTTTAAAACAAAATGATCTTCAAAAACATTCAAATGTTTAGAAACACTTTTCATTGTTTTTTTTTTTCATTTTAAGGCATATCACTGTGGCCAATGTAAACCAATGACAGGAACTTTTATGTTGTCACCAGCCAGACCACTTTGCCACCAGACCACACGGTATACTTGTTTGCCATCTCAGTCTGATTGCGTGCTAAAAGATTTCATTCATGGCAAAAACTGGAGTATCAAAATGGATAGCTGGTTAACACCAGGAAGAATTAAAGGGAAAGAGAGACAGATGATGAATCGACAAGTGATCTCCCCCATCAAACAAAAAAGAAAAATTGCAAATTTGCAAGAAATCATCCTTATCAAACTCTCAGACTAGTTTTTTTTTTCTCTCAGGCATTCTTCAGTCGTCTGTTTATCAAGTAAATCAAATTAATTTGGGGGGAAATGTTGAGAAACACCTTATTTACATGTCAAATGAAGATATAAATGTTGTGTAGTCAATGGTTAAATCAGCATCCATCATACAGTGGTGTGATCTTAGGTGAGGAACACCACAAATATCATGTGTGCCTGCAGTGAGTATTATTGGGCTCAGAAATGTCAGGTACCTCAGTTCAGCTGATGCCATTATGTGGGTTTAGAGATATCAGTCTACATGTACTGTACTGTCAAAACAGAACTGTCAGTCAGCTGTCAGTCAGAGAAGACACACTTTTCAAAGCAACAGCTCACAGTTGTTGGCCTCGTTCTACCAGCATAGCGCTTTTTATGTTGCCATGGGCTACCGCTCACAGTGAGCTGTTTATGATTCCTTGTGGATTTTCTGAATCAGTCACTAGAACAAAAGTAAAACATGCGAGTGCTATTACTGATTATCAACAATGTATCCTGTCCAATCAAGTCAGCTGACCTGAACTATGTGTTCTTTTGTGCAACAACAAAAAAAAATAAAAAAAATAAATAAATAAATAAATATGGAGGGTGTGTGTGAAGCAGACTGGACAATATGGCCGGCGGGATTCAGACAGCGAAGGCACGAAAGCAACAGAGAACGGGAGAGAAATGCTGGCAGAATGTATTGCAGTGACAGATGGCGACGCTGAGATGTCCAGGTGTGCGTGCCCGTGTTTGTGTTTGAGTGTGTGTGCTATATTTGTTTCTGGGCCAACTCTCTGAATAACACTAGTTAGCAATATCTTTTCCTTTCTCCTGTTTTTACAAAGGTGGCCTGGCATTTTTTTTTTTTTTTTTTTACACAGTTCACATGCATTAACAGCTACTGCTATGAGGAACCATCACACTTGTCTGCACACCACATTACGGTTGTATTCATACCGAACAGCAACTAGCAAAGTAAAGCCACTCGAATAAAGAGAAATCTTCTTGCTCCTCTATCTTTAAGCAGCTTGTCCACACACAGCATCCAAATGACGGAGACAGACGGAGACGGGTTAATTTCATGTTTTTATGTTGTTCCACAGACAAGTTTCAGCAGTGTAATCGGCTACAAAATTATTCATAGGTCTCCTCTGAAAATATGTAAATTCCTTCGCTTGTAGAAATGCCATGTAATACCTTGTGTGATCGCATACCTAAGGATGTCAGGTTTACAAGGAAACACCTGGAAAGGGATTGGGCATATTATCTAGGGGGGTGTACACCAGAGTACACGTGTTGAACTTTACTATTACTACTGTGGGTTCATTTACTTTGACTTGCACTTTATTTGCATTTGGAAAAAAAAAGAGGAAAAAAAAAGAGAGGAAAAAAAAAAGACCAAAGTTTGCCTCAAGCTCATTTACAGCAGCAGCCACAGTTTCTGGTAATTCACCAGCCCGGGTTCAGCAGTAGCCCTAAAAAGTCTAGGCTGCCAGTAGAAAGCACTGAGCGATAGTTTGGAGGATCAAGATGCCCTTGAGCGAGTTCTGGACCATTGCTTCCTGACTTTATTCCTCGCAATCACATCCTCTCTTCTAGAAATCTATAAAGCTCAAACATCCCTTCTATCACTCACCCCACCTCCTTCTCCTTCTCCACACCATAAATCATAGAGAGCCATAAACAACCAGCGAGCCGTCGGGACATCATGAGAGTCATCGGGCTGTGGCAAATGACCAAAACAGCCCGTGAGAGACAAGCAATTTCAGCTTGTCGGGCCTGATCTGACTCCTCTCTCCGGTCTGTTCTGTATAGTCCGTAGCAGACACTGACTTGGTCGTGAGTCAGCCCTATAATTACTTTCTGATAAAGATGTTGAAGTGTGCCTACTCCGTTGAAAAGAAAATAGCGGTGCAGTCACACCCCTGGAGGCCGTTCGCCATTTCCGTGAATTCTTCATGAGCTGGCTTTTCTGTGACAGTTCCACACCTGGACAAGTGTCCCCTTTCTCTGTGTGGCATAACTTGTGGCTCCATTATATTCACTCCACAGCCAAGCGTCATGCTGCATTAGCTGTGTGAAGGGCAGACTGACAAGAGTGGCTGTCGTAAAATGGGCAATACAAAGTTACTGCAGCATGCCATTATCCTTCTCCCTTGGAGGGTACAATTCACCTCTTTTACCCAAGAGTGTGGCGGGGCATTTTGGTGCAGCCACCTACCTCTGTTAGGTTTTTAACAGGCTACATTTCACTGGAGAATATCATTTCAGAGGGGGAGGACAAGAATTTCCGACCGCTACCGTTTAGAATTCAATGACTTATAGGTCCCCAACAAAGTAATATTCTTCTAATCCTCTTCGTCAACCTCAAAACTCCATTCTAATCAATATTTTCAAATGAACATTGAATCACATATGTAATTATAATGTGACTGAGGCTGCTTGTAGTGATGAACCCACTGAACATTTTCACCTGACACTGCACTGTATGTGCTGTTATAAACATTACACATTATAAAC